GGTTTTGAGTCTCTAATGACTCTGAGGCTATCTCATTTTCATTATACCAGGAAGGCAATCACAACACCTTAGCCCAAATGATACAATCAGCAACACCATAGCATCAAGCACAGCTTAGAAAATGACAATTTGTGGTAGTTATTAATCTATCACCTTTAACTGTGTAAATTAAATCAAAATCGAGGACCAGCCCAACATATGTTTATAGTGAATAAACTCTTCAGTATAGCAACTTTACCCTTTGGGATGGGGAGTTAGAAGGAGTTGGGGAGGAAGTGATAGATAGAAGGATAGGGAAAGGTTAGCAGTGAGGCCAGAGGACACTGGAAGATCATGGAAACTCTAAGAAACTGTTGAAGATGAGAGGAAAAGGCAGAATGAAAGAACAAAGATGAGAACAAAACAACCTAACAGCAACAGGGAGGCTAGAAACTGTATTTACTTTCCTTTAAAACTAATGACAATTGAGAGAAGGAAAAAGAGAAGAAAAGAAAAATGAAGAAGAAATTCAAATTAGGTGCATAACAGGAATAAAAAGGGAGATGAAGAACAGTTTGGGACAGTGAAAGAATGAGGGGGGGAGGGAGAGAGAGAGAGAAAAGAAAAATAAAAATTAAAAATAAGAGAAAAAATTTCCATAAGGCCTCCATAAGGGTATGTCTCTGCCGTCACAACAGACAACCTGGGCAGCCATGTGCACATATAAGTCAATGAATCTCAGCAATCCAGTAGCAGACCTGTGAGTTTCAGGCAGATTTCTGCCTGCTAGTTCCAAGGTGAGCTCCCTGTCCTCCTGTAGGGTTGAACTCTGCAAGTTTCTACTGCAGGTTCCAGGTGCCTTTCCCCTGAAGATAATACAGGTTCTGATGGGAAGTGATGATCCCTCAAATTTACCAAGTACGGGGTCTGGTGTGCCTTTATTGCAGAGATTCTCTTCACTTTTCCAGTGGGCTTCAGTTTTCATCAAGGAGCTTGAGAGAGGCCCTCTTTCTGTTGTTCATTTCTGCTCTATCTTCTGGAGCTCAGAACAATGGCCTTTATGACTCCCTGTGCCTCTGTAGTGTGGAACCAGGTACTGGCACAGCCAGGAGGCCAGAGGCGGGGAGGGAGGGCCAGCTAAGCTGGTCGCTGGGGGGCGGCGCCAGATGGAGCCCCACTCCACGTGGCCAAGGTCCTCACAGTGGGCTTGCTAGTCGCTGGTCTGAATGAAACATTTTTCAAGAAAGTTCAAGGGCTTTACTTTTCTTTTTCAGCTACATTCATTTTGGGGGTACCCTTCCCACTAAAAGTTGATACTCAGGTATTCTATCTTTGGCTCAGTTTCTTAGTCTTCTAGCAAAGCTATGATTTTCCTCATTGTCCCCACAACAAAACCTGAGAGTTACTACTGTGATGGCCCTAGGGACCATATTCCTTTGGCACCATGAGTACAAACCATTTGTTTTTGAACTGCCTCATACTTCTAGCCAATCCCAGATCCTATTAAGGTAACTTCCCTTCCTCCCTCCCTCCAATGACTCAAGATATTTTTGCTTTAAACAACCGAGGAACCAACCTTAGCCAGAGACATAATTCAGAGGATTCTGTTTACAGTGGCCTGAAGCCAATATTGAGGTCTCTTGGGTGAGTGCAGATATAATGGCACTTTGTCATTCTTTTACAGTAGGAAAGAAGATAAGAATTAAGTTTACTCACCAGAACTGTGGAATTATGTTGTCTTCACAAAGTGCCACTTGGTTCAGGGAGTACCCCATCTGAGGTCTTTTAGAGGGCACACTTTCAATAAGACAGGAAGTTTCCCCAGTCTATTTGCTCCTAGAGTTGTCCTCGAACCATGTTTTTCTGAGGAGGATAAGACTGATGTTACTGTACAGCATCCAGAGAAGGGAAAGATAATTCACCTACCACTGGAAGAGGGCAGAAACTTTCCCTGAGTGTTCGGTGTTGTATAACACTCCGCCTTTGGCTGCAGAAAGTCAAAGTCAAGTTTGGCCTTACCAGACTTGACACTGGGCCACCTGCCTCCATCACACACAGAAGACTTCCCTCATTTCCTAAATTCCACCAGTAAGCCTGTGTGACAACACAGAGAAGCACAGAGAAGTCTTGGAACTGCAGGCAACCACTGGGGACACTGAATGATGCTCAGGAGGTAAATACAGGCTGAGAGCTGTCACTTTGCCCATTTGGGCAGCTTACTGCCAGAATCCTGATTCCAGGAAAGTCTCCCAGCTCCAGTGAATGCCCCATCAACAAAGCTTATTGTCAAATAAAATTCTCAAAAGAGCATCAGAGCAGGCCAGGGATTTAGCTCAGTGCTGCCACGCCTGCCTTGCAAGCACAAGGTCCTGAGTTCAATTCCTGGTACCAGGAAAAAAGGGGGGAGGCATCAGAGGTGTGCTTGTTTGAATTGTCAAAACAGAGAACAACTGGAAAAACATACTGGAACAAGGTCAAGAGGGTATGCATAGGTGATTTAGGGGAATTGTCTGGTTTTGTCTGATCAAGTGATATCCATGATTAGATTTCTCAACACTTGCTACTTTAACAAAGACAGATTCTATGGAAAACTACGAATGGCAAGATACACAGTCTACAATTCTACCCCATGGTCTAAGAATGCCAATTTCTGTCACTTAGATAGCTGCATCTGTGGCAGTGAAATATGTCTCTAGGCTTTAAATTTGATGTGATCTTATTTTCATAATAGTATTAAAGATATTAGTTATAAGAATTTTTCTACTTGTAAATAAAGATTTGTTTGCTTTTGTATTGAAAAAGAAAGTGCACCAAAGGTAGTCACCATAGTGTACAGGAAGGAAATTAACAACTTTGTCTTTCTTCCAAGTGAAGAACTTTTCATACTTGGCTTCTAGAACCTAAATAGAATTAAATAGTATTAAAGTTTGGAATGGGGCCATTGCTTATGTGACTGCAGCTCTGACAGGGGCAACTGGAAGATGTTTGGAGGATGTGACATAATGATTACTATCTTAATTAGAGTATCAGTTTACCTTAAGAAATGAGTGACATTTTTATAATGGAATTCAAAGTTTTTTAGTCTATGAGGACTGGCTGATGATAAAAAAAATTGTAAGTGGAGTACACTTTTGTTATAAGAAACCTTAATTCTTTTATATTCACCATTTTGTTCTTAGGGAAAGAGAGCAGTAGACAAGGAAATCAGACCTTTGGGTTACAAGCAGAGAAATAAGACAGATGAAGGTCTCTTGATAATGAAGGATCCTTCATGCCAGACCCAAATTGCAGGTGTACCTGCAGATGCTAACTTATCTTCAGGACTTCCAGGTAAAGAATATTTGACCATTACTTTGATGTCTCTTTCATCTTTAAATGTATACATACTCATGTGCCTGAGCTGTTTATTGCACATAATGTGAAACTGTCTAGGTTTCTCTGTTCGATCCAAACTTGCCTGATAATACTTTGAAAATCATCTTTCCTTCACCTTAACTGCTTGCCCACCTTATTTATCCCCTGTATTTACTGAGTGGCTTGGATGTGCTCAGCACCATGCTGAACCCTAGAGATGAAACAGGACTACAAAGGCAGACAGAGCCAGTTCCTACCCTCCACAGTCCAGGAGGTTTTAAGACAAAGCTGCAGGTAACTGTCATTTGAGGTTGGATGTGATTGTGTCCAGAGGAGAGGTGTAAGTGGGTAATTGGTGTCTTTCTGGAGCAGTGTATCCACATAAAGCTATAGGAAGGAAGAGATGATAGTTCTAGGATGTGCAGTGGGAACTGACATTCAGTGCAGAAAGCATGAGCAAAAGTGCTAAGGTGGGAAATTTTCTAGAACAGAGGAGGAGTCCTGCTCGGTGTATAAGGGATGATGCAGAACACTGGAAGCTGAAACAGGACAGCTGTTGTGGCTTTTGCTGTGAAGGCCTCAGCTCTCTGCCTAGGACATGTAGGCCTCTCATCCTGCCAGAGGATGGCAGTGGCAAGGTGAGAGCTGGGTTTTGGAGATAAAAGTGGTATGAAGCGGGCTGGGGATTTAGCTCAGTGGTTTCACTGCCTGCTGCGCAAAAGCACAAGGACCTGAGTTCGATCCCTGGTACCAAAAAAAAAGAACACAAAAGTGGTATGAAGGTTGAAGTAGGTGCTGTGGGCTAAAGAAACTGGAAGCCAGCCTCAGCCTCTTCCTTCTGGCAGGCCAGGAAGGCAAGATCTGTCACATCAGCCTGCTCTATGATGGAGGCGGGAGTGACCACCTGCCATTCTTCCCCATCTGTGGGACAGTTCTCACAAGGGGCTGAGACTCCACATCAGGCCAGTCATTAACATCCACCTGAGTCAGATTCACCTGAAAGCCAACAAGTGTCTGTCAGGTACCTGCTGTATTCCAGAGAAAATGCTAGGTGTTTATATCACTGAAAGACGAAAATCAGAAGAGCAGACAATAAACAATATATACAAATAAGTGGACTGTCAAAAGATAATTAAATGTTAGAGAACATCTAATATAAGAGCAGGGATAGAGGAATAGAGAGGTGTTAGAGAGTGGCTGCCCGTTTAAATAGGGAATAGTCAGGCCTTCTTGCAGTGGTTTACGTGCCTCTTCATGCATGTATAAATCTCAGAATTTGGTGTTTTACAACACAGCTGCTGAAAATTCAGAAGCATCATCTCAGAAGCCAGTCGAGGAAAAAACAGCTCCTCCAAATCCTGAGCAGGTGTTTGCTGAATGTTCCCAGAAGAGGATTTTGGGATTACTAGCAGCCATGTTACCTCCCGTAAAGTTGGTAAGAGACAGAGGTGGTGTTTTCTTTGTAAAAGAGGGGATAGTGTTATTCACAGAAGAAGATGTTGTTGTATATGCTGAAATGAACTGTTAATAATAGTCAGCTCTGTATCCCTAGGGTGGGACTTTAAATTATTTTCTTCTTTGACTTTCTATATTTTATGTGTGTATATATCCTGATTCACATTTTTATTAAAATTATCTTTTTCTTTTTTAATTTGAAATTTTTTAAGCTCATAGAAAATTTGAAAGAATAATGAAAATCTTCACCCAGACTCACCTGTTGTTAATTTTGCTGTACCTCTTTTTATTTACATAACTATTTTTTCCTGAAATTTTGAAAACACTGTAAGTTGAAGCAATTAGTGACATTTCATCCTCAGTACTTCAGCATATGTTTCCTAAAGTAAAAACTACACAATCACAATGGCATTATCATACTTTAAACATTTAGCATTGATAGACTAATTCCATCTTATGTGTAGCCAATGTACAGATTTCCCCATTTATCCCCTAAGTGTTCCTGCCAGCTTAAGAATTGCATTGCATTTAGAGTTCATGTTCACTTAATCTCCTCTAACCTATTTATCTTGCCTTCTTTGTTTGTTTAGGTAAATTTCCTAACACTGACATCTTCTAAGACTCTAGACAGTTTAGATATGTCTAACTGTACCATTATTCTTTTTTATAATTTTCTAGACTGTTCCTATATTTATATTTTTCTTTATGAACTTTCATATTATTTTTAATCAAGTTAAAAAGATTCTGTTAGCATTTCCATTGGGTTGGCATTAAATTTACATATTAATTTAGGAATAACAGACATTTTTACAGTAGTCACTTTTGGCGGGGCCGCTGAACAGAGAGGAATCAGACAGAGCTAACAAGCTCCTGAAACAGGATTTCCTAAGTTTTCAGAGCTTTGGGGTAGGGAAGTGTCTCCAGGACCTAGGTTTGGTCCTCAGGTCTCTGAGTCCAAGGACTTCTTAAAGCAGTTTTGTAGGAGATGCTTAGCCTCAGAGGAATCAACTTTTGCATGGGAATTGAAACTGATTTATAAATTGATCACAGTTTACAGGGGCATGTGTCTACCAAGAAAATCACGGTGTTTCCTCTTGGTATATAATTCCAGAGAGAAAAAATGAATCAGGAATTCATACCAGCCCCTGTAATTACTACCTAAAACCACAAGGTTCACTTGTCTTTAGCAGTGAGATCCTGTACCCCATTATCCTTTATGCAGTTACTTGATTAGTCTCCCATCTCAGCTGCCATTCTTCTCTTCCAAGGATGTCCTCCTCTTCTTGTTGGGACTCCACACATTACCCAGGGCCTTCCCCAACATCAATGCCTCCTTACCGCACCTGGGTCTGTCTCGATGCCAGCTTGCCCCCTTGTGTCGAAGCCTCCCTTACCTTGCATTCAGGAGCCACGCTCTTCTTATATTACATCAACTCTGATTCCCTATGCCAGGCTGAGCTCCCATGGGATGCCTACCTGTCTTCATTCACTCCAGGTAACCCTTACATATTGATGCCCTGCTCAGCCCTCTCAGAGCTCCACTCTAACTCTTGAGCTTGACCATTCCTGGTTATGCCTTCCCCACCTCACCTGTGCCCTGCCACAGAAACTCTTCTCTCCAGCTTAAGGTTTGATAGCCTACAGCCTGCACAGGACCGGCCTGGGCCTAGCTGCCATTCTCATTCATCTTGGATTCCAATCCTCTTCTCTTCAAGGGCACTTTTTTTTAAAGGGTTTTTTTGAGCTTTTACTTTTTAGTTTAGGTTGGCCTCAAACTCACAGCAATCCTCCTCCCTCAGCCTCCTGAATGCTGGGATTACAGACATATGCTACCATGCCCCGCCTCAAAGGGACTCTTTCTTGTGAATCACTTTTTTTTCTAGGAACTTTTGTTCTTTGATTTCTTTGTTTTCACATTACAATATAGTGTCTTCTTGAATTACATTGAGGATAACAACTCACAATTATGAGTTTCTTCTAGTTTTATGTATTTTCTCCTATGGAAAATAACAAGTGGTTTAAGTGTATCAATATATGTACTAGGATGTTTACCTAAATGGTGTTGGTAATGATGAAGAATTAAAAACAAAGTTGTAGGGCATTATTTAAAGAAAGAAAAATAACTTTAAAGTTTTTAATTTGTTTTATGTGTGTTATACGTAAATGTGCATAAAAAAAGATTGAAAGACTTGTTAAGTTAGAAATAGTTGTTATCTCCTAGGTTTTGGTAGGAGGTGGATTATGGGGCGCTTTATGTGTATTTGTGAATTATTTGAATTTTTTTTTACAATAGATATGGGGGAAAAATATTTTAAAGGTTTTTTTAGGGTAAAGGAATATTAAAAGGACAATAAGATAATACCTGGGAATGTTTATTTTATAATTTATTATATATGTTTCATTTGTTAAAGCCACTGCATGATTCTGTTGGCACTAGGCCAATTGTAAATAATACTCAAAGGGTATGGAATGTTAGCTGGTGTGGTTCTTTGGATTTTATACTGAAGGGATCTCTCTCTTGGCAGGGTCCCACAGTCCCTCTGATAGACCTGGAGCATGTCCTCCCACTCATGTTCCAGGTTGTCATCTCCAATGCAGGCCACCTGAATGAAACCTACCACCTCACCCTGGGTCTTCTTGGCCAGTTAATCATCCGTCTTTTACCAGCAGAGGTAGACGCTGCAGTCATCAAAGTCCTCTCAGCCAAACACAACCTGTTTGCTTCCGGGGACAATGCCGTCGTTCCAGATGGCTGGAAGACCACACACCTGCTCTTTAGCCTGGGAGCTGTGTGTCTGGACAGGTAGCCTTGTTTTCCACTCACCCAGCCACCCAGTACACCCACCGTGGTGTCTGTTTAGGTCAAAGGTCTGGCTGTTGATGTGTGTCAGAGCGCCACCATGCTGTTGTCTAGATTCTTCAGTGAGAACGGAATTGGTTTTTTGTAATATTGTCAGTCCACACAGCTCTGCAGCTTCAGCACAGTCTGTTGATTCATCTCTCTATGCTATGTATTCTGGTGTGCTTTTTCCAGAGAGCAATAATTGTAGCCCTTGAGGTTGAAAATCTGTTTTCATTATAAAAGGAACATAACCACAGTACCAAATTTGGAGAGCAGAAATGAACAAAAGAAATCACCCTGATTTGCCTTGTATTAATATATCTGACACTATTTACTGTATTTCCTCATGAGCTCTTTTCTGTATGTGAATGTGAGAGTACATGAGTCCCCATGCATGAGGAGTTTTTATAAAGATCTGAAAACAGAACTGTAGACTAAGTATGTAAGTAACAAATCTTGATATTTGTTTGTTTTTAATTTATTGTGGTACTGAGAATTGAACCCAGGAGTGTGCATTCCACCATAGAGCTACCATCCCCAGCACTCATTTTTTATTTTGAGACAAGTAAGTTACCCAAGCTGGCCTCGAACTTGAGATCCTCCTGCCTCAACTTCCCTAGTTTGGTGGCAGCACTGCATCTGGCTATTTTGTTTATTCACTTAATTTATATGAAAAGCATCATTCTGATAGGTTTTGTTTTGTTTTGTTTGTATGTGTGTTGGTTTGATTTTTTGAGACAAGGTCTCACTATGTAGTCCAGGCTGGCCTTGAACTCACTATGTAACCCAGGCTGGCCTCACAGCAGTCCTGCTGACTCAGCCTCTGAGTGCTGGGATTACAGCCGAGCACCACCACTCCTGGCTGATTCTGGTAGTTTTTAAACTAATAAATTAATGGCTTTTTGCATGTCTTGGGTGTGCCTTGACGTGTATGAGCTCTGATAAGTCAAGTTGAGAGCTCTGTTTACTGTCACCTAACAGAGCTCTTGCCTTCCAGCCGGGTTGGACTGGACTGGGCTTGCTCCATGGCAGAGATCCTGCGGTCACTCAACAGTGCCCCACTGTGGCGAGACGTCATTGCCACCTTCACAGACCACTGCATCAAGCAATTGCCGTTCCAGCTGAAGCACACCAACATCTTCACCTTGCTGGTGCTGGTTGGCTTCCCCCAGGTACAGCATCTGAAGGCCTTCTCACCTCTTCCAGTCTTCATCATGCATCTCTAAACCTCCATGGCATATTTTTTGAACTTTTTTCCCTCAGTTGGATAATTTCCTTTCACGGTGTTGATACATTTTCATGATTGTGGGGTGGTTTGTTCAACTTGTATTTTTAACAGTTGAGCTATTTGATTCATTTTACTAGCTGGTAGTTGGCTTTGAAAAATGGATAACTTCAACATACTAAATTATAAAATCTTTCAAAGAATAATTGCCTTCACTTTGGCATTCATCTTGATCTCATTCCTAATCTTCATGTCTCTCAACTGATTCAGAGGAGGCTATAAACCAGTTCTGTGCTGGGCCAATGCCACATGCTTTGGACTTAACCTTATCTTTGGGCACTTGTTGAAGTCAGAAGAACAAGCGAAAAGGGCTGAGCTTGTGGATAATTAAGTGTTCTTTCTGGCTTGCTAAGTTGTCTTTTCTGTCTCTCCATGTCACATCCTAGGTCCTCTGTGTGGGAACCCGCTGTGTTTATATGGATAATGCCAATGAACCTCATAATGTGATTATCTTGAAGCACTTTACTGAGAAGAACAGGGCTGTGATCGTTGATGTCAAAACTCGGAAGCGGAAAACAGGTCCTAAGCATAATTATTTTTTCTAAGAATGGAGAAAAATTGTCTAATCCTTGCATACTTTAAAATCAGTGAAGATACCTTGGTTCTTATCCCTGCATGTGATATTCTAAAAAGCAAGTTCAGGGCCGGGGATTTAGCTCAGTGGTTTCTCTGCCTGCTGCGCAAGCACAAGAACCCGAGTTTGATCCCTGGTACCAAAAAAAAAAAAGCAAGTTCATTCCTGACCAAATAGCTTCCTGAGCTGTTTTTTCCTTGTTGCTGAAGTGATATGGTTGAATTGGTATAATTTTGAAGGCCCCCTTTCCATGCTTTTGTTTTATATATATGGCTCTGTGTTTTGGTTTGGCAAATATTTAAGTTCTGAATATTTAACCTCTCCCTTTCCAGGTGTCATTTGTTTTCATGTGGGGTAATTTAAACATGTTATGAAGTTGAGTGAGTCATGGAGTCAGGTGGCTCCACTTGGAATAATTGTATTCGTATTAGTATAACTTTCCTTTTCATTTCAATAGAACACTGAAAGTATTACATCTGAAGTACCCTTTTGACTTAATTTGCCAAACTCCAAAAATGGGATATCTAAACATTGTACACTCAGTTCCGTTCCAAAAGTAATCTGTTTTGTCTTCAACTTTAGCATTAAGCAGTGTCTGTGTTGCACTACCCCCTTCACATATGAACAACCATCTGTTTCAGGACCATTTATTGAACAGACTGTCCTTTCTCTACTGGTGCCTTTCAGAATTAACTGACTCATATGTGTATGTTTATTTTTGGATTCTATTAGAAGTCTGCTGTAATTCTGATGAGTTTTCCTTTGTAAGTGATTTGTTTCTTTTCTCTAACAGCTTTTAATATTTTGTTCTTGTGTTGAATTTCTGGAATCTTGACTATTATATGCTTACATGTAGTTTTTTTTTCTGATTATGGCTAGTTAGCGTTCTATATTTGTCACTTATCTGTGTGTCAAATTCTTTTTCCATGTTTGGGAAGTTTTCTACTATTACTTCTGTGAACAGATTTTTTTATGTCCTTTGTGCTATCTTCTGATTTTTCATTGATTCCAATTAATCCTTTTTATTTTGGTACTAGGGATCAAACTCGGGTCCTTGCACTTGCGCAGCAGGTGGCAAAACCACTGAGCTAAATCCCCGGCCCCCCTGATTAATCTTATGTTGTTCTTCTTTGAGTCATCTAGCAGCTGTTGGATTGATTTTTCATGGTCCTTTGCTATTTTTAAGAAATCTTTCATTTGATGATCACTAACCACAAACTGTCTTCCAGATCTGATATTCTGTCTTCACATTAGTTGATTCTGTTGTTTTCAATAGAATTTTTAATCTCCTGGATATCTATTTGAATCTGTTTTATGGAATCCAATTCTTTCCTGTGTTCCGGATTCCTAGTTTCCATAACTTTCCTAAGTTCCTCTATCTTTTTTATCTGTATCTACTCTAGATTCACTAGCCATATCTTTTATTATGGTCATCATCTCTTTAGCTATATAATTATTTTTTGATTTTTTTCTAGAGACATTCGTCTGCTTTGTTAATTCCGCTGCTACCATTTCAGAAAGTTTAGCTGGGTGGCTTTTGATTTCTTCCACCTCAGTTCCCCCTGGATTTGCCTGGACGAAGCTGAAAGTCTGGAGTTGCATCTTGCTTCTATGTTTTCTTATTTTCTATTTTTTAAATTTGTTTTCTGAGTTGATGCTTGTAAATTGCTTATGGTAGATAGTTTTATTACTAGGATCAAGACCTCTTTAGAAAATGACTGCTTTTCAGAGATGTGTTCTAGACTAGCTAGTTTTGGCTTTTGGCTTTTGGATCTGTACCAAGATCCTGCCTCTTCAATTAATTAGGCATGAGAGGTTGTTGCCTGTTTGGCCTAAACCCAGTTCTTTGGTACTGGACTGTGGTATTGTTTATGACCCCCAGACAATCTCAGTACTGGCATACAAGGAAGAACAACTGATTACAATAACTATGTCATCTAGGCTAAAGTAGTACAATCAGTAATAACAATAGCATCAAAGTGCAGTCTAGAAAATGATAAACTATGCCAGAGATTTAGCTCAGTGGTAGTGCTGCCGCCTGCCTTAAAAGGTCCTGAGTTTGATCCCCCTTACCAAAAAAAAGAAAAAGAAAAGAAAGTGATAAGCTATGTTAACTGTTAATTTGTCACCTTTAACCATAGGTGCAAGATTTATGATTATATAACAAAATCTGAAATAAATCAGAAAATTATATACAGTAAATATCCACTCAGCAGAGAAATGTAACCCTCATGGGAGAAAATTTAAGAAGGATAAGAGGAAAAAACAGAGAAATAGAAAAAGAGAAAGAGATTAGAAGTAAGGTTGAAAGACAGAGGAAGATTACCCTACCTTGGGGAAGACAGGAGGGAGGGAGGGAAGGGAGAAGGGACAAGAGAGAGAAAGAGAAAAGAAAGGGAAAGAAGAAAGAAAAAAGAAAGATTAAAAACAATGTTCACACTCATGAAAAAACAAAAACAATTAAAAAAACAACAAAGAAAAAAGAGAGCTCTCTTGGTGATTTCAAGCTTGTGATTATCTTCTGGAGTCTACAGTTTTGAAGTAGTGTCCAGTTCAAGTCCTGTCTCTGCTGTCACTGGTAGACAAAGGAGGCAGGCAGAGAGCCCAGATCCTTGCCGGATGATCCCAACAAGCCTACAGTAGGATTGGCAGAGTGCCAATTCTGGTGCTTTCACCAGAAAGTTTCCTAGAAGTTCAGGCTGATCCTGGCCCCTGGTTATGGGATTGAGTTTTTCAGCATACAACCCTTTGGGTGTCTCTTACTGGTCTGACCTTGGCTCCCTGACCTTGGATGTCTCCTCCAGTTGCCCCTCACCCAGTCACTGGGGGATTTCAACACTGAGAGCCCTGAGATGAAGCCAGTCCACAGCTGCTCCAAGTCCTGGGTTCATTTTGCCCCTCGCTAAAATGGCATCTGGTCAAGCACCTTCTCCAAGGGATACCACAGCCACTTGGACTGGAGTCACTCACCAGCTGCTGAATGCATAGCATCCACTCCTCTGTTCCACTGGTGTGTTTCTCCCTGGAGGCCTCTGGAGTCACACTCCCTCACTGTGTCTCTGTAGATTTTATCCTCCTGTCCCATACGAGGAGCCAGGAGCCCAGGAGAAAGTACAGTTTGCCACCTCTTTTTCTGCATTGTAGTATGTCTCTTCACTCTCTGTGGGCTCCAGTTCTCTCTTCAGATCCTTCCTGGGTCCCAGGGATCCACTTCCCTCCTTCTTTTCTTCCCCAAGTTGTTATTTCCACTGTCTGGATTCCAAATCTTGGAGAGATTGATTTATTGCTATTTATTGCTTCACTCTCTTCCCGGAAGTCCTATTTTTGGACTATTACCATCTTCACTATTTTAGGTTTATAGTGTTCTAAATCTTAAAATCAGATCCTCCAATTTTTTTTAAATTGTTTTGGCTCTTCTTAATTCTTTGCCTTTCTATATAAATTTTAGAATCAGCTTAGTTTCTACTAAAGAAACTGCTGGGATTTTAATTGGCATTGCATTGAATCTATGGATCTACTTGAGAAAAACTGACTTTTTAACAGAATTGAGTCTTTAGATTCATCAGCATTGTATATCTCTGCAATTATTTAGTGAATAAATTTAGGCTTATAAAATTTAGGTCCCTAATTTTTCTCAGCCTGGCATAGGGTATTAACTACCTTCTCTCATTCCTGAATTGGTAATTTATGTCTTCTTTCTTTTGTTTCCTAGACAGTTTAGCCAGAGATTTATTATTTGATTTTTTTTCAAAGGACCAGCTTTGGTTTTGTTGATTTTTTTTTCCTATTATTTTCTGTTTCATTGATTTCTTCCCTGTTCATTATTGATTCCCTTTTGCTTACTTTAGATTTAATTTGCTTCTTGTTTTTTCTGTTTTCTTAAGGTGGAAGTCATCACTGATTTGAGACCTTATTTTTTTGTTACTGGGGATCGAACTTGGGTCCTTGAGCTTGCGCAGCAGGCGGCAAAACCACTGAACTAAATCCCCAGCCCAACCTTTCTTATTTGCCATAGCATTTTAATGCTGTGAATTTACCTCTAAGTATCACATTAGCCACATCCCACAATTCTTTATATATTATCATTTTCATTCATTCATTGAATATATCATTTCATTCAGAATATTTTCTAATTTACTTTCTGATTTCTTCTTGGCATTGTAGATTACTTAAAAGTTTGTCAACTAACTTTAAAGAATATTCCAATGTTTATGTTATTGATTTCAAGTTTAATTTCCTTGTTGTCAGAGAGTATATGTTTATTTTAATCCTGTTAAGTTTGTTGCAACATGTTTTATGGTTCAAATGATGACTTTTCATGAAAGTTCCATGCACTTGAAGAAAATGTGTATCAATTGATAGTGTTATCCAAGTCTTTCATGCTCTTCCTGATGGTCTACTTAGTCTAACAATTGCTGAAAGAGAACTGTTGAAGTTTCTAAATGCATTTCATTCTGAAATGTTCCTTTTTATCCTTGATAATACTTCTTGTCTGGTATCTCTTTTAATGTTTATTCATCCTCTCCTGCATTTTTTAATATCAGCATTTACATAGTATGTCACTTTCTATCCTTTTTCTTTAACTTGCCTATGTCTTTATATTTAAAGGGGATTTTTTTTTGTAGGTGGCACTTAGTGGGGCCTTCATTTTAAATCCAATCTGATAATTCCTGCCTTTTAATTGAATTGTTTAGATCATTTACATTTAATGAAGTTATCAGATTAGTTGAATTTAAATCTGTCTTATTTTCTGTTTGTCTCATCTGTTCTTTGTTCCTTTTTTCTTCCTGCCTTCTTTTTTGAGGCAGGGAGAGGGTTGGGTTTTTGTTTTTTGGGGGGTTTTTTTTGGTACTGGGGATCAAACTCAGGTCCTTGCGCTTGTGCGGCAGATGGCAAAACCAGGGTTGGGTTTTTTGAGACAGGGCCTTACTATGTAATTCAAACTGGCCTTGAACTCACTATGTAGCCTAGGCTAGCCTTATTCATAGCAATCCTCCTGCCTCAGCTTCCCAAGTGCTGGGATTACAGGTGTGCGCCACCATACCTGGCCCTCCTGCCTTCTTTGGACTGGTTTATTATTTTTTTAATGACTTCATTTTATCTCCACTATTGGCTGTTTGTACCTATTTTTTTTTCTAGTGATCTAGGATTATAATAGTCAAGTAGTTTTTTTACAGATTGCACTAAGGTTTATACTATAAACCTTTAACTCATCACAGTCTACTTTGAAATGTCATAACACTTTACAACAGTATAGAAATATTACATTTATTTCCATTCCCTGCCCCCATTTTTGTGTCGTTATTACACATTTTGTTTTATGTGATATAAATCTCTCAATACATTGTTTTTGCTTTAAAATGTCAGGTATTTTAAAAGATTATAAAATGAACAATGTTTTTTTATTTAACTACATATTTACTATTTTTGCTGCTCTTCATTCCTTTGTATAGATCTAAATCTCTGTCTACTGTATTTTTCTGTGGCCTGAAAAACTTCCCTTAGCATTTCTTGTAGTTTAGGTCTGATGCTGTAAGATCTTTTAGTTGGTTTAGAAAATCTTTACTTTGACCTCATCTTTGAAAGATAATTTTTCTAGGTGAAAAATTCTAGATTGAGTTATTTGTCCATTGTTTTCTGGCTTGTATAGATTTATGGTCTGAAGGTTGTCATTCTTACTTTGCTACTTTTTTATATATTTTTTTGTCATCTTTGCTACTTTTTATATTGTGTTTTTTTCCTCTGGCTGTTTTTAGAATTTTTCTCTTTATTGCTGCTTTTAGCAAATTTTTTTCAGCACTAGGGAGTTAACTGAGGGTCTTTGCATTGAGCTACAGCCATAGCCCTTTTTAAAAATTTTTTATTTTGAGGCACTAAGTTGCTAAATTGCCAGTGCTTGGCTTGAACTTGCAATCCTCCTGCCTCAGCCACCAACAGTGCTCAGATTACAAGGGTACATCACCATGCCTGGCTTGGTTTTTAACAGTTTGATTATGTTTTGCCTTGGCATGATTTTCTTTATGTTTCTTCTGGTTGGGAATTTATTGTGCTCTTTGGGTTTGTAGTTTTTATTGAATTGGAGAAAATTTCCACTACTTCCCCCCCCGCCCCACCAGGACATTTCTACTCTCACTGGTAGGAAGACAGATTATTCCCAGCTTTGTGTGAGCTCCAAGAATTGTTAGCCTACTGCTTTTTAGTGTTCTCCTGCCCTAGGCAGTTTCCTCTCACATATATGCAGATGAATATTCAACTTAAGACTTAATGAAGAACCCTCAGAGGATCTATAGAGAGCTTTCTCCCACCTTCTCTCTGTGCATCTTTCTTCTGGTGATATTTGTCCCCTAAATTCTAGCCAGCTACCTTGATTCCCTGAACTCTGATCTCTACTTCCTTGATTCATTGAGACTCCTGAACTGTGCTTGGATTTCTGCTTCATGTTCCTCAGCCTACAGATTTCTGGTGCTACTGGAGGGCTTAGTTTATGTTTTTGTTCTGAGGGATCATAGTTCTTCATTATCTGTTGCTCAGTGTCTGAAAATTATTATTTCATGTTTATTTCAGTGTTGTAGTTGCCTAACACGGAAGAGTGAATCAGTTCCCCTTATTCCATCTTGTTTGGAAGTAGAAGTCTTATGTGTACTACTTCTAAGAACTTCCAGCCAGGCATGATGGTACATACCTTTCATTCCCACATTGGAAAGCTGATGCAGGAGGATCACAAATTCAAGGACAGCCTGGGCTACATAATGAAACCCTGTCTCAAAAAAAAAAAAAAAATGTCCATTAACACCTTTGGAGATGATCTACTTGTGCACAATAGTAAGAATGTGTATTGTTCCTCTGAGTTGCTCAGTGGATAGGTTGCCCAGTACCATTTTTGTGCTCACCTGCAAGCTTAACATGTTCCTGCTGGCTTTGAACCACCAGTGGTACATACATGACTGTCCTATCAGGTAACTTGTGCCACTGGTGTTACAAACAGATCTAGTCACTTTTATCAGTCTTTTCACTAAATTAATTTTATTTTTTTATATTTTTGGTATTGGGGATCAAACTCAGGACCTTGCACTTGCAAGGCAGGTGCAGTGCCACTGAGCTAAATTCCTGGCCCGTAAAATTAGTTTTAAAAAATTGCCCAATGGGACATTCATCCGTGTACCACCAGTGGATCAAGCTGACTAGCTGCGAGGCATACAAATTATGGCTCTGTTGTGAAGGTGTTAAATAAATTCCCACTGAGCCTGGGAGATTTGTGTTTCTGCAGATTTTACTTTAGTGAGGCACATTACTGTGGAAGAAACTTGGCAGCAGGATGCATTAACTGTACTTTTTGTGCCTTTCTCTTCCTGACCTTGCCCTTCAGTGAAGGACTACCAGCTGGTCCAGAAAGGGGGAACACAAGAAAGCATCGACTCTCAGGCCCAGCTAAGCCAGTACTCCCAGCACTTTGCCTTTATTGCCAGTCACCTTCTGCAAACCAGCATGGACAGCCATTGTCCTGAGGCAGTGGAAGCAACTTGGGTTCTGTCCCTGGCCCTCAAGGGTTTATATAAAACATTAAAGGTAATGGGGAGCCTCTTCTGTTTGGTAATAAATCTGTCTGTGATTGGATATCTGTAGGGGATTAACAAGAAAGAAATTCCATTTGATTTCAGTGAATGCTTAACCATAGGATCTTGATTATTTTTAGAAATGTTTGGGGCCTTGTACAAGGATAACTTTAAGGAGGAAATAGAATTTTCCCAATAGTTGGTTTTCTGTTTTTCAACACTGTCATGGATTTAGGTGCTATGAATTCAAGAGGACATAGCTGTGGCAGGTGAGAAGAGAAATGGATTGAAAAGTTCCTTACTTCCTCAGAATGACAGCTCTTCTGATTCATCATGGGATATACAAGGGAGAATAAAGGGGATTAGCCTCCCATAGGAGCTTAAAGAGTAGATTTGGCCAATAGACAAGTTAAAAAGCTGAGTAATATTTGGCATACAGATGAAATACTCTGACTTGTGAAGACTTTCCAGTACCTGGTGGAGAAGAGAATCTTTCCGGAAGATGTACTTTAGCTCACTTGTAGGGTCGTCTTCCCAGCACAGCTATCCAGGACAGAAGATCTCAGTGGAAGTTTGTAGTCCCTTGACTCTGAAGGGTGCTCAGTGACAGTACTGGTGGGGAGACTGGACTAAGTGACATTCCAGCTCTGGACCACCCCTGAGAGTTCATATTTGTAGGGTTGAGCCCATTTATCTGCTGCTGGAATTTCTTTTTTCTTTTTTGTGAGGGCAGGTTTGAGACAGGGTCTTGCTCTTTAGTCCAGGCTGACCTTGAGCTCACTATGTAGCCCAGGCTGGGCTCAAACTTGCCACAATCTTCCTGCCTCAGCCTCCCAAGTGCTGAGATTACAGGTGTTCACCACCATCCCCAGACTGCTGCTGATTTTGTTCATGACATTTATAACAATGTGCAATTTGTTTCATTGTTCACCTTGTATATAGTAGGAAAGAGCAGATAAACTCCCTGAGGACAGAGATCTTTGAATCCTTCATTCAGTAAATATTTGTTAAGCACAAGAGCCAAATGGAACTAAGCATGTAGTGATGAACTTGGAAAAAGACCCCTGCTGTTATGGAGCTTGCAGTCTGACTGGCGAGATACAACAGGGAGCCTGCAGGAAAGACTGCCATGAGTCAGGAAAAACCTTTCTGAAAAGGTAAAATTTGCAGTGATAGATAAGGAGGTTATCCTGAAAGGACTGAAAGAGAGTACCAAGCTCCAGGTATTGAAGTGGAATAGTCACAGTTGTCCCTGAGCAAAAAGAGCCTTCAGGGCTTGGGGATAGTGCACAGCGGGAGGTCAGGCTGGAGAAGCAGACAGAGAACTTTGTAGGACCTTGTCAGCCAAGATTAGGGGCTTGAGTTTTAGCCTCAGGCCCATTGGAAAGATTTTGGAAGGTAAAGAGCAGGGGAGTGATATAAAGTAGGTTTCAGAAATGTTGAATGGATGCATTAAAGAGTGAATGAGCAGGTGGTCGGTCATGGGGAAGGTTCCAAGTTGCATTCTTCCTACCGACTCTGAAATTTTCCCTGGAGGTCAGCTCAGTCCCCTGGCCGAGATTGAATGCTGAGAAAAGCTTACTTTTCTCCAGCAAACCTCTGCCTTCTTCAGTCAAAGACAGCTGCACATCACTCTTTTTCTGGTTGACAGGCTCATGGTTTTGAAGAGACCCAAACAACCTTCCTTCAGACTGATCTGCTGAAGCTGCTGGTGAAAAAGTGCAGCAAGGGGACTGGCTTCAGTAAAACGTGGCTCCTCCGGGACCTGGAAGTAAGGGACAAGGGGAGCTCCTGCTGCTCCTGCTTTAGCTCATTCCACCTGGTTCTCCCCTGTGCCCTTTCATTCTGTACAGTGTTTAAACTGTGCCTTGCTTCTGTCTTCCCTTTTGGAATTAGGGACTGTGACACCTCTCCTCCCCTGTCAGGGAAAATGAATTTGATGTTTGTTCAAAGAACACTGGAAAAGAAGTACTTTATGGACATACATACTTGGCTATTTTATCATGGTAATAAAGTGTGCCCTTGAATTATTATTTCCCCTTAAAGTTCCTTCAGGTTAAAATCAGCTTCTAAATTTGTCCTCACTCATGTTTGGATTTCAGTCCATAATTTTAGTTTTATTGCCATTCCCCTAAGGCCTTAAATGCTTCTTAGTGGAGTTCCTGTGGCTCCCCACAGGCTTCCTGGGCCAAGTGCCTGCTTCAGGGACAGGAGAGGCCACTGCAAGGATATTGGTGCTGCCAATGTTCGTGACACAGAGGCCTGGCCCACGGAAGAGCTCTGAGTGCCTTGGGAGGATTTGCTTAAGTTTGAGAGAAACCTGCTAAAACATACTAGTGGGAACCTGGGAGAATATGGGAACTCTTAGTCTTACAGGATATTTTAAATTAGAATATTTTTGTTACACAAATAATAGAATCACTGTGCAGGAAATTTCAAAAATATAAAACCAAAAAACTCCAGATTTTACCTCAGAACACAGCTACCATTAGCATTTTGTGTCTTTCTTTCTTTTTCTTTCTTCTTTCTCCTCTTTCTTATTTTTCTCTTCTTTCTCTCCTCCTCTCCTTCCTCTTCTTTTCAGTACTAGAGTTTGAACCTATGCCCTTCACACAGAGCTTCATCCCCAGCTCTTTTTTATTTTTTATTTTATTTGAGACAGGATCTGGCTAAGTTACTCTGGCTGAGCTTGAACTTTCAATCCTCCTGCTTCAGCCTCCCAGGATTGGTGCACCACCATACCTGGCTCCTTCTAATTTTTCCCTATACATCTTTAGTACATATATAAATTTATATTTTATGATGATCATAGTATTTAGATAAACTGAGGTCATATCATAGGTATTGTTCTCAGTTTTTATGTAGGTTTCATAACCTTTGATGGCCACATATGTACAAGAAGGTACTTTGGCTGGGCATGGTGGCACATCCCTGTAGTCATAGCACCTGGGAGGCTGAGGCAGGAGGGTGGCCATGAATTCAAGACCAACCTGCACTACATAGTGAATTCAAGGCCAGCCTGAGCTACATAGTAAGACCCTATCTCCAAAAAAAAAAGGTGCTTTGCAGTTTTTTGTCCTTATTAATACTTAAGTAGAACTTTTTTTTACGTATTTTACATTATTCCTAAAAGATGAGTTATTGATTCAAAGGGTATGAATATTTTTATAGTTCTTTACATTTCACCAAAACAGATTCTAAAGGAGGATACCAGTTTATACTGTCATAGAAAAGTTAATAATCACAAGAGCTCCCATAGTTTTTATTACCATTTCAACTGTAAGTATATAATAATTTCATAATAATTATACATATATAAATTATATATATATATAATTTTTTTTGTAGTACTGAGGATTGAACCTGGGGCCTTCACCCTGAGCTACATTCCCAGTTCTTATTTTTTATTTTGAGACAGAATTTCACTAAGTCACTAAGTTGCCCAAGCTGGTCTTGAACTTGTGATCCCCCTGCCTAAGCCTCCCAGCATGCTGAGATTACAAGTGTGTGCCACCAGGCCCAGCTGATTTTGCATTCTTTTTTTTTTTTTTGGTACCGGGAATCGCGGCAGGCAGTGTAATTTTGCATTCTTTATATGAATTCTGATGTTAAAAGTTAGGTCAAATATTTTCTGCCCTTATGGTGTTAAAGAACTGTGTCATCCTCTCACCTCCTAGATGCTCACCTCCCTTCCTGCCCCTTTCCTCTCATATAGATCCTGTCCATTATGCTGTACTCTTCAAAAAAGGAGATTAACACTCTGGCTGAGCACGGAGACCTCGAACTGGATGAGCGAGGGGACCAAGAGGAAGAGGTGGAGCAGCAGCCAGTCAGCAGCCCTGGGGAACCGGAGCAGAAAAAACTAGACCCTCTGGAAGGCCTGGATGAACCCACCAGAATATGTTTCTTGGTACGTTCTCGAGTTGTCATGGGGATGGGGCATGGCTTCAGAGGAATGGGTTCTCTTTGGCTTGGGCGGTGCTTCAGGTAAGGCTGGAAATGCTTTAGTCTGATGTCCTAAGAATCTACTTCCTAAAGACTCAGTCTGTGTTGCACAGAATTGATCCAGAAGATTGGAAAAGCCCCATAGCAGTAATTTTAAATGTTTTTGGATCATGGACCCAAAAGCTTTCAGTCCTGTCTCCCAGAAAATACACATTCAAGTATGCATGTAAATTTCTGCATAGAATTTCCAGAGTTTACTAAAATCCTGAAGCCCAGCCATGAACTCCCAAATGGTAGTCCCTCTTCCTAGTTTGTCAGAAATATTCTCTTGGGGAAAGGAAAGAAGGGAAAGGAAAAATGATGAGAAATGGAAAAAATGGAAATAAAGTCTTTGTAAATAGGGAAGGGTGGAGGGAGTGAAGGGAGGGCTAGGAATGGGGAAAAAATAAGAACCAAGATGCATTATGTAAAGGTACAATTCCCAATGAGAAATGTAATTGTGTTGTACACCTACAATGTACCAATAAAATAATTTAACAACAACAAAAAAGAAATATTCTCTTACTGCCAGGCATGGTGGGATTACACCTGTAATCCCAGTACTCAGGGTCCTGTGGCAGGAGGATCACCATATCTTCAAGGCTGGCCTGGGTTACATAGTGAGTACAGGCCAGCCTAAACTACATGGCAAGGCCCTGACTTTAAAAAGCCAAAAAAAGAACGATATGTTCTTTTACCTTGTCCAAAGAGCTCCTCTTACTTCCAGCCATTTAAACTCGGTCCCAGCGCTCTCAGCCCCTGCTCCTCGTTTGACTCCCCCTGCTTTCGGCCGTGGGCTTCCTTCCCGCGTCCCCCGGCTTGGGGAGGGGGCAGAGGGACGGGGCGAGAGCGGCCGCGAGTCACGGGGGCTGCGCACCTGTTGTGTGTAGGACCCTCCAGCTCCGTGTGGCTCCCCGCGGACGCTGCGACCTGGCAGGTGGCCGAGGACGTGCGCAGCGGAGAGCGGGAGACGAGGGCCCGCGGGCTCAGGCCAGCCGGCTCCGCAGGCGCAGTCCCTGCAGGGACAGACCCGGCCTGCAGGGACAGCCCCCAGATGCCACATCTCTGGGGGGGGGGGGGGGGGGAACAGCAGGCACGAGAAGAGCCTGGGGCTGCTCACCACCAAGTTCGTGTCACTGCTACAGGAGGTCAAAGACGGCGTCCTGGATCTCAAAGCGGCTGCAGATACATTGGCTGTGAGGCAAAAAAGAAGAATTTATGATATCACCAATGTCTTAGGAGGAATTGATTTGATTGAAAAAAAAGTCAAAAAATAGTATCCAATGGGAAGGTGTAGGCGCTGACTGTAATACTAAAGAAGTTATAGATAGATTAAGATTTCTTAAAGCTGAAATTGAAGATCTAGAACTGAAAGAACGAGAACTTGATCAGCAGAAATAGTGGCTACAGCAAAGCATCAAAAATGTGATGGATGACTCCATTAATAATAGATTTTCCTATGTAACTCATGAAGATGTCTGCAATTGCTTTAATGGTGATACACTTTTGGCTATTCAGGCACCTTCTGGTACACAGCTGGGAGGTACCTATTCCAGAAATGGGTCAGAATGGACAAAAGAAATACCAGATCAGTTTAAAAAGTCATTCAGGACCTATCCACGTGCTGCTTATCAATAGAGTCCAGTTCGTCTAAGCCTGTGATTTTTCCCGTCCCCCCACCTGATGACCTCACACAGCCTTCTTCTCAGTCCTCCACTCCAGTGACTCCACAGAAATCCAGCATGCTGGCTCAGAACTCGCCTGAGCAACATGTGTCCAAAAGAAGCCAGAGTCTTCAGCAGATACCAGCTTCAGAAATAGCTTTTGCAGGATCTATTAGTGGAGATATTATCGATGAGTTAATGTCTTCTGATGTGTTTCCGCTCTTACGGCTTTCTCCTACCCCTTCAGATGACTACAACTTTAATTTAGATGATAATGAAGGAGTTTGTGATCTGTTTGATATCCAGATACTAAATTATTAGATTCCATGGAAACTTGGGACTGTTATCTACCTCTAATTGTGTAACATTTTAGATTTCTTAATAACCTAAGTATTTAAAAATAATGAATGTAACACCTTTTTAGTTCACTGATTCTGAAGTGTTCTTCTCTAATTCTTTCTTTTTTTACTTCACAAAACTTCAACCATAAAAACAAAGGGCTCTGTTTCTGGGGAAAGGGGGTTTAATATCTACCAGCCTTCTCAATCCCCAAGTGATTACATTCTGGGATTTCAACTTCCAATTCTGAATCCTTCTGTTTCCTTTTATGAAAGGAAAGTTAAAGTAGACTTCAGGTCATCAAAAACAAAAAAGTTGGCCAAGGGCTAATCACTTATTTGCCTTGTATTTTTACTGCCATGAAACTATTTCTGCATGTGTCAGTCCAAGGAGACATTCACTGCCACTTAAAAAGTGAAGGATGTGAATGAGGATATGTAACTGTTTCAGTGAATAGATTTTGTGAAGTGCCTTCTGTTTTAGCACTTTAAGTTTATCATTTTGTTGACTTCTGACATTCCACTTTCCTAGAGTACAGGAAAGATCTGTTTATGTAGTTTGTTTTTAAAATGTGCCAATGCTTGTACATTAACAAGATTTTTTAAAATAAAATTTAAAAAAAGAGCTACTCTTGTTTGGAATGATATGAAATGAGTAGGGCTTGGGCTTCAGAGGGGCTAATGAGATGAAGAGAAAAGAGAGTGTTCGGATGCACATCAGAAAGACAGGTAGTGTTTAAAAATCTCAAAAGAAAGTACAGGGCTAAAGTTTGTGCTAGGTGTTCAGCTTGAGTTCAGCTACAGCCAAGCCAACAGGAACTACAATGTGGTGAATAAGTAACAAGTGAAAAAAAGAATTGTGTTTCTTGGCATAGAATTTCCTTGGTGCTTCAGTGTTTTATAATTTCCTTGAAAGTTACATGGTAGTGAAGATATTATAGCTCATGTCTTAGTGCTTACAATTTTATATGCTTTTTTTTTAAAGTACTCATCATGATGTTCTTTAGTTATGGCCTGTGGTACTTTTTTTTTAATCACTTTTGAATTCAGATTATCAATAATGTTTGGAAAGCACTTCTAATTGTTTCTCTTTTGCATCCTGCTGTGCTTTCAGATCGCTCACGATGCTCTCAATGCCCCTCTGCACATTCTCCGAGCCATATATGAACTGCAGATGAAAAAGACTGACTCCTTCTTCCTGGAAGTTCAGAAAAGGTGAGAGGCAGTGAATTGTACCAAAGGGTGCAAGTGAGCACAAGTGAGGGCAGAGCAGGTACCTGCCGCTAGAAGGAACTGGAGATACCCCAGCAGGCCAGCGTGGATGGGTTTGTAGTTCTCCGCGAATCCATAGGAATGGTAACTATGCTATACCACATGGACCTTCTCTGTGGTGTGCGGCAGGCCCCTTTGGAAGACATGTGAGGCTAAACTCAGTTTACGAATACAGACACCAAGATGGCTCTCATGTGTTCCCAGTGAGCAAGCAGCACAAAGCAGGTGCCTCTGCTCAAGAGGGCTTTTTGTTTTCATCACCAGTGTGAATTATTTTTATTGTTTTTTTTCAAGATTGATTATATAATTAGCAGTGTTCCCTTCTCTTGGCCAGGAAGTTCAGATCTGTTCTTGGGCTCAGCTCTTCAATTTGTGTAGAACTTTATATGTCTGCAGTCTAATCCCCACCCCCATATCCTATTTGACTTCTCTTATTTTTGAAGGGGGTCAGTGTTGGGGATGACACTCAGGGCCTCACAAATGTTTGGCAGGCACTTTACCACTAAGCCATATTTCCAGGTCTTTGATTTCTTATCTATAGTAATTCTAATTTAATTTTTCTTTTACTCCCATTTCTGTTTTATGTGTTTCTTATATATTCCCTCAAATCCTCTGTGAAGCAGGTGGTATGAGATAGAGATCGTCTGTGTACAATCTAAGCTACTGTAACAAAAAAAATAACAAGGGCAGGACTATCACAGACCAAAGCAGATAGAGTGTGTTTGTCCCTCACACAACAGTCCAGGGGAGGCAGGCAGCAGCTGTGCTCCACAGAGTGACCTGGTGGCTGATCCCAAGGGTGTTGTTCCCATCTATGTAATCACAGCTAGCTCGCCCTCACCACCCCTGGGTGCCAGCCCAGAGGAAAGATGACATATCCTTAGAGAAAGGAGCATATCCTTAGCACAGTTGTTTGAGAGAGGACTCTGGAAGTGATACACACTTCACCTCCCATTGGCAAGAACCTACTTAACTCTGCTGGGAGAGAGGGCCGAGCCATGTCTCTAGTAGGGTGACTGTGTTGCCTGTGAGAACTCCAAGGAACCTTGTTTCTAAAATAGAAGGATACAGGCACAGGGGCACATGCCTGTAATCCCAGCTTCTTGGAAGGCTGAGGAAGGAGGATTATAAGTTCAAGGCCAGCATGGAATTTACCAAGACCCCTGTCAAAATTTAAAATGGGCTTGTGTATCTAGCTCGGCACTGGAGCACTTCCCTAGCATATTCAAGGCCCGGTGTTGCATCCCTAGTACTAAAAAAAAATGAATGAATGGATGACTTCTTTGAGATGGTTTGTATCCTCTGCCACAAGGGTACACCTGGATATCTGCAAGCATGAATAATGAAAGCCATGAATCCAGTTTGCAAAATATAGAGAAAGATTATGGAATTGTGTAATTGTAGGAAAACAGCTCTGATAACATTCCTGACAATTTTAATTGCAGGTTAAACTCCTGTCTTCCTCCACTTTGCATACCCAGCTTTATGTTCTCCTTCAGGTTTGATGGAGATGAGCTGGCCACAGATGAAAGGATACGCTCCCTAGCTCAGAGGTGGCAGCCCAGTAGGAATCTGAGACTGGAAGAGCAGAGTGCCAAAGCTGTGGATACAGACATGATCATCTTGCCGTGTTTGGTATGTCACCCACCTGGGAACAAAGTGTCCGCACCCCCCACCCCACGTGAGAAGGCCAGGCCCCTGTCATGGTGATCTTGGCTTTGCAGTCCCGGCCTGCACGCTGTGACCAAGCCACTGCTGAATCGAACCCTGTGACCCAGAAGCTGATCTCAAGCACTGAGAGTGAGCTGCAGCAGAGCTATGCCAAGCAGCGCCGGAGCAAGAGTGCCGCCCTCCTGCACAAAGAGCTGAACTGCAAGAGCAAGAGGGCTGTGCGGGACTACCTCTTCCGCGTGAACGAGGCCACAGCTGTCCTCTATGCCCGCCATGTGCTAGCCTCCCTGCTCGCCGAGTGGCCAGAGCACATGACAGTGAGCGAAGACATCCTGGAGCTAAGTGGCCCTGCCCATATGACCTACATTTTGGATATGTTCATGCAGCTAGAAGAAAAGCACCAGTGGGAAAAGGTAGCTAAACAGACCAAACTCAGCACTCCCTCCCAGGCCCCTCCTCTGCCCCTTGCTCCCCATCTTTGTGCGCCGCAGGGTGTTTGAACAGATTTTACCACTGAGTGCTACCTGGAATGAGCTTACTTGTATGGTGCTGCAGACCCCTGACAGGTGTGAATGCAACAAAGGTAGGGCCTCTGTTGACTCCCATGGATTAGCCTGGAGCTGAGCTCACAGACTAACACAGACTTGGTTCTCAGAGAACATTGGTAGTTGTAGTCCCATGAAACTTGCCTTGATGTTCCACCTTTATTTTTTTCATACCTGCAAGACTTACAGCTCTCCTGGCTAGTTGTCCTCAGATCCCCAGAGTCTCACATAACATGAGGGCCATGGACAGGGTTAAATAGTACTCTTTGGTAGCCTGCTCCCCATAATAGAGGAAAACTTCTGGTGAGGCTTTTGTCTTCTATGTAAAGTATCATTTCTAGAATGTTTACCCTGGTCAGATAGCTTTGCCCAAACTTAAACCGGGGCTGCATTGTGACCCTGGGTGTTACTAGTGGAGATCAAGCCATGGAAGCTTGTCCAAGGTTCCTGATTTCTGGGTGGCAGAGTTGGGGTCTCACTAGGGTGCAGGCCACTCTCTGAAGCCTGACTCTAATTTTTGAGTTGGAGACTATTTACTGTTTTGTTTTTAAATCAAGTGTTCAACTTGTTCTTTTAAAACAAGGCTGGGTTAGAGACCCCTCTTCCACTTCCTGCTCCCTAGAAGCAAAGGACCCAGTATTAGAAAGCTTCCTGGTTTAGAACTCAGCAGCCCTTTCCTAGCTGAGCCAGAAAGTTTTGTCACCATCTTCCTGGTTTTCAGTGTATAAACCTGGAGTCATATTTGGTACCTTCTTCATCCTGTCCCCTGCCCTACACATACCTATGCATCTGTGGGGAGATTAATTTATCCTCTGACCCTCAGATTGCCACCTGAGAGCACTACCAGTTTCTAAGTCTCCTAGGTCCTTTGGCAGCACTGGAGGGGCTGGTAGTTTTCTGTACCCATGTGTATTTCCTGGAAGGGACAAAAAAGAGCCATTGGGCACTCCCCCCCGCCCCGCCCCAGAGCTCCTCACTCTGCACCTCACCTTAGCCACTTGTCACTGCAAACTGTCATTAATCATCTTTAGGTTGCTCCACCTGCTCAGGCAGAGCTCTTCAGGGACCAGGACCATCTCTAGTTTGTTCTGTTGGTTCTTTCAGACCTTCTAGAAGCGGCATTATTCTGAAAGGTCTGCCGTGTCTGGTCTAGCGAGAGGCAGCTAGTGGGGATGGTAGAGGCAGGGCCATGATGATTCCAGCACCTCTGGGTGGGTCAAGGGTTGAGGCAGGTTCTCACTGCTTCCTCCTGAGCCTACTGCAGGGCCTGCCTTGCCCTGACCCACTGTGTGTTCCACCAGATCCTGCAGAAGGTACTCCAGGGTTGCCGAGAGAACATGCTGGGGACCATGGCCCTGGCTGCCTGCCAGTTCATGGAGGAGCCAGGAATGGAGGTGCAAGTGAGGGAATCGAAACACCCGTATAACAACAACACCAGCTTTGAGGTATGGTCTGAGCAGCAGAGACCTTCCCCCAGCATCCCTGACCAAAAAGTGCATCTTTCCTCTAAGTGGTGGTCTCCCTGAAGCCAGGGGTCCTGTGCAACCTTGTCTTCCCTTCTCCTGGCCTTCCTCATTTTAATTGGAAAAATGGGCCATCTGGCCCAGAGGAGAGTTGACTTCTGCTCCAGCTCCTCAAGGGAATCCTTGGTTTCTTCTGGCAGTGCATCTGCACATGGGCCTAGGTTCAGCCTTGTTCTTTAACTATCTCCTGATGACTTGCCCACACCTTGGAGACTCCAGCCCCTTTGTAATTGCCATCCTTAATTGTATTGGGATAGAGAAAAGTAGGAGTTTGGATGAGCTAGGGTTGGAGTGGCCCCAATTATTTTCCTTGACTTAATGCCACTTGCCTTTCTTCAGCCCTTTAGAAGTGTTGAACACACGCAGCAAAGCCAACAGCAGTGGTGGAGGGGGACAGCCAGGGTAGAACTTGGTTGTTGGGCCAGTCTGACAGGGTGGCATATGTCTGTAATCCCAACACTTAGGAGCCTGAGGCAGGAGGATTGCCACGAGTTCAAGGCCAGCCTGGACTACATAGTGAGTTCAAGGCCAACCTGAGCTACGTAGTGAGACACTGTCTTTAAAAAAAAATGTAGCCCTCCTTACCCTCTTCTTTCCAAGTGTCTCCTCTTTGTTCCTGGGCTCCAGCCCTGTGGACTGGTCAGCTGCCAAGTTATACCTCAGAAAGGATCATCTTGTCTCTGCCACTGCCCCACACTGTCCTCTCTTTCTATGGGGTTCTTGTTGCTGCTCCTTCCCAACTTCCTGCCTCTGACCTGGCCCCAGCCTAGCCTGCCTTCGCATCAGCTGCCAGAGTGACCTTCCCTCAGTGCAAGACCCAGGCTTTCTCCTGCTCAACCCTTTCCAGAATGCACTGCTGACCAGACAGAGTACAAACACCTCATTGTAGTGCACAAGACCTTGGTCCTCTATCCTGCCCACCTCTCCAGTGTTATGACTCACCCTTGTCCTGACGGCCCAAGGGATTTTGCCCACATAGCACACCATTTACCCCATCTCCTGACCCCACCAGAGTGTTCCAGCACTACTGCTGAAATGCACCCCAAGGCGATCACACACCCCGTCCTCCTGACCAGCTCCTCCTGTCCATCTTCACCACCGCCTGAGCGCCCTGCCCTGGGACCCTTTCTGCCCACCCTGCCATGCCCCATACTGCAGTCATAGTGGTCCATGTCCCATCTGGACTGAGAGCCCTCAGACGGTGAGCTGTGACTTACTCTCACATCCTAGCTGCAGTGACAACTGCAGTGTCCCCCAGTAGTGAGCCACAGTGGTAGAGGGTTCTCTGTCACTCCTCCCAGGATAAAGTCCACATTCCTGGTGCAATCTATCTTTCAATCAAGTTTGACTCTCAGTGCAACACAGAGGAAGGCTGTGATGAATTGGCCATGTCCAGCAGCAGTGACTTTCAGCAGGATCGACACAATTTCAGCGGGTCTCAACAGAAATGGAAAGATTTTGAGCTTCCAGGTACAAAAAAATACTAGGTCATGTAAGGTCTTCACTGAAATGTTTAGACATAATATTGAAAAGGGAGACGGGCATGGTGGCACACATCTGTAATCCCAGCATTTGGGAGGCTGAGACAGGTTCACTGCAAGTTCAAGGCCAACCTGGGCTACATAGTAAGCTTAAGAGCAGCCTGAACTATATGGTGAGACCCTGGCTGTGGGAGGGGTGGGAGGTGTGATTGTATATAAAAATTATTGGAGAGGTTTTAAAAGAGCTTAATGTATTTAATCAAAAGCCACTCATTTGCCATTCCCTGTTGCTTTGTCTCCTGATGTGTCTGGTTCCTTGTGGCCAGGAGATACTCTGTACTACCGCTTTACCTCTGACATGAGCAACACCGAGTGGGGCTACAAGTTCACCGTGACGGCAGGACACCTGGGGCGGTTCCAGACAGGTGTGTGCTCTGCTCCTTCCCTTTGCATGGTTTGCCTGCCAGGGACACTCTGTGGCTGACTGTGCCATTATGCCACTGATGTTTGTTAAGATCAAAGCAGATACTTTTCTCTAAGGCTTCCCAAATACATCTTACAAACCCCACACCTTTTGTAAACTTGAATGGTTGGATAAAAGTGATCTGTCAGGGCCTGAAAACAGATGCTTGTTCTCTTAGAATTTGCAGGGCATTTTATAAAAAGGAGGAACTGAGAATGTTGATCCTCTGTTATTTTAACAAAGGGCTTAGCTTCAGCCAAAATTTAAATAATCACAATTATCTCAAAATTCTTAATGTATACAATTGTTAGACTTTGTTTTTAAAATATCTGGGGTTTTTGGGGGGAGCAGGATTTGAGATTTTGAAGCAGATGTTGTCGGAAGAAAGGGTTGTGCCTCACCTCCCATTGGCCAAAATTTGGGAATGGCTGGTTGGCGTAGCCTGTCGCCAGACGGGTCATCAGCGACTAAAAGCCATCCACTTGCTTCTGAGGATCGTGCGATGCTGCACCCACAGGTAGGCTAGATCTCAGTCCTTTCATCCTCCTCCCACCCTGGCTTGATGAAAAGATGTCAGTATTTGTAATGTCTTCCCATTCATCACTCATTTTCTTTATGTTAGTGCTTTGGTGTCCTGTTTAAGTAGTTTTCACCATACTTGAAGGTCATGAAGATATCTCCTGTGTTGCCTTCTAGAGGCTTGACTTTTTTCCTTTTGCAGTTACATCTGCAATCCACCAGGGATGAACTTCAGTGAGTGGTATGAATCGAAGGGGTCAAGTTTTTCCCAATTGTTGTCCACTCGTCTCCAGAGGCCACTTTCCCCCTCCTCGCCTTTGTCACAAAGCAAATTTCCATGTGTGCATGCACAGGTCTCTCTTGTTCCTTTGGTCTTTTGGTTGTTGGTTTGTCAGTATCACCCTGTCTTAAAGACTGTAGTTTTATAACAGATTTACATATCTAACATCTTTCAACTAGTTCTTCACCTTCAAGATTGTCTTGGGTATTTTTAACCTTACATGTGCATATATACGTTAGAATGAATTTGTTAGCTTCTCCATGTGTGCACATGCACCGGCCCAACTCAGTCTCATCACATACCTGTGTCACTAATGGGTTTTTTTTTTTAAATTATTTTTGTTTTTTGCAGTGCTGGGGATTAAACCCTAGGCAAGCACTCTGTCACTGAGCTAGCTTCCCCATGCCCCCTAATGTGATCTTAATGGATTCCGAAGATCAGTTTGAGAGGAATCAAGATATTTTTTTTCATTCCCTTGTTTAATATTAATTACAGTTTAATAGTAATTTTAAGTGAAACAAAAAATTATGTATTAAAAGCAAATGCTTTGATAATCAGAAAAAAAGCCTTTAGTGACATATTAGACGTGCTCTGTAATCAGTATATTGAGACATTCATACATTTCAACAATTGCTTAAATTCTGATACCCACATTTAAGCATGTGAACATGACTTAAACACACAAGTAAAGCTATTCATCATCATTTGCTGTACTATTACCATTAAATTAGTTACTTTGGAGCAAAAGTCAAATGGGTTAAAGTAAGCCTGTAACATACCTAAGGCACACCTTCTTATATTACACATGCAAATTAGCTTTCCATGTAGTCTCTTCACTTTAATTTCAAAGTTACCCTTTTATTTCAAAGCTCTGAAGTCACTACTCAAGAGCTTATCATGGTCCAAAGAGAAGGGAAAAAGAATATAACCAGGACTGGTCAGCATAGTTTTTTATATATATTTTAAAAGATGGCACAACAGAAGGGAATCCAGTCCTAGAAATGCAAGCCCTTAAGAAGCAGCATTATTATGATAAACCCCTTCTTCAGAAAGGTATCATTTCCATTACTGATACCACAGGATAAATTATATTTTATGCCACCTTTGAGTAATAGTTGAGGCAATAGAATGCAGAGGCATCACAATGAATCCCACTTAATACAAATTAACTAGACAGAACAACACTTCTACAAACTGTTTCCTTTTTCTGATTGCCAGTTAAATACAGCTTTAATCCATAGCTTAACAAGGAAGGGTCATACACTAAAGTCAACACATATACCTAGCATTTCAGTCTAAGCTTGTCCATGTACACAACTGCAATCAATTACAATGTATGGCCTACCAGACACTAGGGTTAGGTACTTTTTACAGGCATTAAACTTCATCTTGCACGCTGAAGTCATCATACATACAGGGCAAAGTCGGAGCTTTTATATTTGCGTTTATTCATCATTTAACTTTTAAAACACTACTATAATTGAATATTAAAACAACAATAGCAAGTAGTGAGCAAATGATGATTATAGTCCTTCGTGTGTTCACTACTGCACACAAAATGCCAGCAGTGAGTGTTAGTCACTGCCCCATTAAGAGGTCTGACACTGAACACCACCCCTGGGATGATGTTCGTCATCCTCATACACTTCTCCATTATAATGGCACCGTCTTTCCTGATTTGGATCAAAGTCCATGAGTTCTACCTGATCATTTCATCTGTCTCTTCTACTTCCTTCCTCTCGGGTAGGAGTTTTTCCAGCAAAGAGAGTTTATGAGGAAAGAGAAAGCCATTTTCAGGAAAGTTTACCTTTAATTCAATAATTAGACAACCCTTTTCATATGGTCTATGATAAATTGGCATACCTTCATTTAGCACACACTTGATGTCTCCGTGCTTGACAATGTGACCTGGATGAGAGGTGATGACTATGGTTCGGTTGTCAAGAGGGGATATTGGCTTTTGGAAGCCACACTGTGCTTCAACCAGCTGTATATCCATACACATGAAAGGGTCTTCTCCTCGTCGAGTGAAAATAGCATGGTCCTTCTGATCTAACACAATGATGATATCTCCTGGCTCCAGTCCTGGTTCTTGGTCTCCTTCACCATGGAATGTTATCTTCTGGCCATCTTTCATGCCTTTGTCAATGTGAACTTCTAGAATCTCCTTCTTTCTAACTATCTTCCTTCTGTTGCAGCTTTTACATCTATCTTTAGAACTGATGCATTCTCCATGGCCCTGGCACTCCATGCATACAGACTGAATTTGCTGAACCATTCCAGGTCCTATCTGATTAATTCTTACTTGCATTCTAGCACCTCGGCAGTTGGGACAGCACTCTACAGCTCCTTTCTTACCACCTCGGCCTTCACATTTGTCACAAATCACATTGTTTTGCAGAGTCAGTTGAGGAATCAAGATCTTTAGAAATCCCCAGCACTCAGGAAGCTGAGGCAGGAGGATCACCACGAATTCAAGGCCAGCCTAGGTCACGTAGTGAGTTCAAGGCCAGTCTGAAATACATAGCAAGACCCTGTCTCAGAAACAAAGAAACAAAAAAGATCTTTAGAAAAAAAAAAATTTTTTTAAGAGATCTGTAGAAGCCATAATGGCATACCTTTGTAATCCCAGCTATTTGGTAGACTGAGGCAGAGGATCACAAGTCAAGGCTGGCAACTCAACAAGATCTTGTCTCAAAGTGAAAAGGGCTAGGGGTATATAACACAGTGGTAGAGCTCTTTCCTAGTGTGTATGAGGCTCTGGGTTCTATCCTTAGCATTGCAAAAAAGTTAAAGGGCCCCCTCCTAGTCAGATGAGAGAAAGCACTGGCTTGAAATCAGTCCCGTGACTGGTGGCAGGGAAGGAGGGAAAGCAGACAAACTAAACATGCCTGGTGTGACCACCATGTTCTCATATGCAGGCGTTGGGGGTCGTGTGGGCTTCCAGTGAGACCTGTCTGGTTGAGAGATGTGTAGGAAACACATTATATCCCCATGGTCAGGCTAGCGAGCCTTTCCTGGCTACAGCACCAGGTGCCTTTCTATATGCTCTGCACCCCTCCATTCCAACCCCGAAGAGAACTGCCAGCACACCTTGCCACCCTGCCCAGTGCACACATGCTCCTTGGAGAACTTGAGGCCCACAGGCCTGAGGGTTTGGCCTGGAGGCCAGATGGAAGGGAAGCCAGGCTAGTACCTTTCGCCTCACGCTGAGTACTTGCCTGAAAACTAGCTGAAACGGCTCTGTAAACCAAACCAAATCATCTCATTTGTTTACTTTATGAAGATTTATTCCTCTGGGGGAAAATGATTGGCTCCAAGGTGTCACTAACAGACAAAATTCTTTTTCGAGTCATAGGAGAAAAAGCAAAATAATAATATATCTGTGTGGGTGTGAGTGTGGGTAAATGGGTGTAATCATGTAGTAAGCCCCAGAATAATACTGATTTTCTAATTTTCCTTCTCTAAACAGTGCTGAGCTGGAGTCACAGTCCACCTGCTCTGAGTACAAGCCCTCTCCTTTGCTCTTGATGGGGTCTAACCAAGAAGGACTGTGCTTTCCTTAGGGTGAAGGTTTCTGGCTGAGCAACCTCGCAAGAATGTTTTGTTTTTACGAGTCTAACCTTCAAAACAGTGGTTGTTGCCATGGTCTTTTAAGTAGTTCTTTTTTCCATCTTTGATTTTATTTTCTATGTGCAAGATCACATCTTGCCTTCTCCCATTTGACATTTATCTTAAGATCTCCTCACTGTCACTGGAAGGCTTCATAACAACCATTTTTAAAGACTCACAGGTTCCCCTGGCATCTTGAGGTTCTCCTGGGCTCTGCCCCTTTCCCTTGTCACTGTTGGAGGGAGGGTGGTGACGCTGTCCTATGATGGCTGTACAAGTGGTGGCAGAGGAGGGCTCTGAGCTGCACTCCAAGAGCTGGCCTGGTCCTCAGTTAACCCACTCGTCCCGGGCTCCTCCTGCAGTGATCTCTGTGACCTTACACTTTTGAAGCCACTGTGGCAGCTCTTCACTCACATGGAATATGGCCTGTTTGAGGATATGACACAGCCTGGCATCCTCCTCCCCCTGCACCGGGCACTCACGGAGCTCTTCTTCGTCACTGAGAACCGTGCCCAGGTGAGGACCCTGCCCACCTCTCACCTTTCACCCGAGGTCTGATGGGAAAAACAGGACCTCTACGTCCTTTTGCCCCCTGCTGCCCAGGGAGGACTTGGGTCCCAACCCCATTCTGAGCCCCAGGTGCTGGGCAGGCCTGCAAAGGGAGGCAGATTGGGCCTACAGTCTGGAGGTTGGGTGTCCCTCTCCCCAGCCCTGGGACACCCTCAGGTCAGCATCGGGTGGCTTATTTTGTCAGGCTTAATGCCAAAGGGGGAAAAACCCACCCTGGATGGGCCCCTGACAATAGTGAGTTTTGAAAAACCAAATGGATGAATTCCTCTTCCTCTTTTTTTCTTCCCCACAGCACAATAGACTCATTGAATGTGTGAGATGAAAGGGCCTTTCACAGGTCCTCTGCTTAACCCCTTCAGTCACACGTGAAGAAGCCGGCGGTGGGGGAGGGGGTGTCCCTGCCCCGCCACCTTAGGGCCAGCCCTCTAGTCAGACCCCTTAAGTGGTGCTTGAGTGAACTGTGGGGAGCCTTACCATGAGTGCCTGCCCTAGGCAGCATTTACCCCTCAGGCCTTCTACTTTCTGGGCATATCACTGGTCCCTCATGGAGACTATGCTCTCTCCACAGGAGCTCGGCCTGATGCAGGATTACCTGCTGGCCTTAACCACGGATGACCACCTACTCCGCTGTGCAGCACAGGTACCCCCTCCCCCACAGGAGCTGCTTTGGGGTCCGTCTCCCTGTGGCAGGTGGCACTATCTCATCATTGCCAAGACAGTTGTATGTGTGTGTTTCATGACAAATACAGAACCTCCCCAGAGTTTACACAGAGCTCAGTTCCAATTCATTCCCTTCCTCCTGGTGCTCAGAGAGCAGGCGAGCCCCATTTATCAGCGTCACTCATATTAAACTGTGGGGTCAGAAGACACTAGCAAGAATTTGTGTCTTTAAAACCAAACAATGAATGCTTTCAATTTAGTTTGGCTGATCCCTGAAGTTTCCATAGTTAGACTTCAGATATTTTTGGATATAATTTCCTTCACTGGTAGAAGTTCTCTTCTAACAGCTGTTTGGTCTCAAGACCTTTCATGCTTTTAAATTATTGAGGATCTGAGAAAGCTTTTGGTTTTATGCACTGTGTGCATCAATATGTACCATTAGAAATTAAATTAGCTTTTAAATCTAGAAATTAAAAGTTAAAATTTTAAACATTTACCAATTCACTTTTTAAAATAGTAAAGACATTTCATGTTAACATAAGTGACATGTTTTGTGGAAAACAATGCTTATTTTTCAAAACAAAAAAATTTTTTAAGGCTGTCTCACACTGTGTTACCCAGGCTAGTCTTGAACTCCTTGAGTCAAGGGATCTTGGTGCTTCAGCTCCCAAATAGGTGGGACCATAGGTCTGTGCCACTGTGCCCAGTTTAAAGCAACATAATTATTGAAAGGGGTGGTCCATGTTCCTTTTTCTACAGATCTCTAATGTCTGGCTTAACCAAAGGCAGCAGGATTCTCTGACCTGCATCTGCAGTCAGTCTACTGTATCATCACTCTTTAGCCTGTGGAAAACAGCACTGTGTGCTCATGAGACAGTGGAAGTGAAACCAGAAGGCTGTGACCTCCATAAGGCTCTTGGGATTAACCAAGCCCCAGACTACTTTGTTTTCTTTTTTTCTTTTAATTTTTTGCAGTACTAGGGATTGAACCTGAGGGTTTCAGACTGAACTACAATACAACCTTCCTCTTCCTCCTCTTTCTCCTTCTCCTCTTCCACCTCTTCTTTTCCTTCTCCTCCTCCTCTTCTTCCTCCTCCTCCTTCTTTCTTCCTTTTCTTTCTCCACATCAGACAGGTAGAGAACTGAGGTACCCAGAGTCACACTGGATGGTCATCCAGCTGGGACTCCTAGCCAGAGCCCAGCACTATGTCCTTGACAGTTCTGTCTCACGAAAGAAAGGGTCACCTTTACTAATGCAGGTCTAGAAGGGTCTGCTCTGGAGCAGGAATCCCCATAGCAAAGAGAAGAGAAACTGTGGGACTCTCCTGAGACCCATAGGCAGAGTAAAAACCCCCTTCCCTCCAACAGCTGCCTTTCACGTAGCTGCCACCACCTTGGTTTTATGACATAGTATAAGAAAACTTTGATATTTGACATTTTTTATACCAGAAGCTCAATATGGCAGGATTCCAGCGGGCTTGACCATCATGCCAGTCCCTATATCCAGGCTCTGTTCCCCACTCCCTTCCTCATGGCCCTGGGCACCTGGCTTCCCAACAGTTTTCTGGGCTCCCTATGGGGTCCCCTGGCACTGGCTGTTTGCTTCTGTGTGTGCCATGCCCTTCCTCTTCTGCAGCTTTGTGCCACTTTTCCCCGGAGCTTTGCAGACCCCCATCAGGCAGCATTCCCTACCCCAGCAACATGGCTACCCCTGTGGGCTCTGAGGATTTACCTCACCTATGGGGTTTTTAACCTCACTCCAGTCTGTGGTCCTCCGGGTGAGGGGGCCCATGTGGGGTGAGGGGCCCCATCCCTGCTTCCTTGGTGCTCAGCCAAGGGCCTGGTTCATCAGCACTAGGTAGATGAGCAACCAAGTGCCCCTTGATGTTGGTCATCACTCTCTCCCTCCACAGGCTCTGCAGAACATTGCTGCCATCAGCCTGGCCATCAACTACCCAAACAAAGCTACCCACCTCTGGAATGTCGAGTGTTAGCCTTCATGGGGCGTGCATGGGACTCATGAATCTGTCCACGGGCGGTTAGAGCAGACATCCAGCCTCATTCAGGAAAACTCCTGCGGCCTCAGTGCCCAGCCCTCCTTGAGCTCACCTCTGCTCCCATTCGGATGCCAAGTGGCCACGTCTCCAAGAACTTCTGTGTGCAGGCCAGACATGGGCACAGACTGTGGCATGTGAGATAAGCTTGGCAGTGCAGGGTGACTCAGAGCAGGCCGGAGGCTCTTGGGAAGGCCGTGCAGAGACCAGCCTCTCGGAAAGGTCTCTGTGTCCTCTGGCTGGAGCTGCCCACACTTGCCATCCCAGGAAGGTGCTGGCTGCTCAGTGCCACTGTCACAGTGAGACCTGCAGCCACAGTGACTGGACTGGGAGGTCCTTTGCTGTTGCTCTTGGGACTGGGAATTCAAACCAAATGACCAGTGGCCCAGGCCTCTCCTGGTCCCTGCCAGACCCCAAGTATTCAGTGCAAGACAGGTGTCTGCTAGCTCCCTGCATACCCTGCTGTCCCAGAGAACTCCCTGGTGAGAACAAGTGCCCTTGGGGACAGCCGACAGGCTGCCTGTGCGTCTGCCCATGCAGCAGCTCCCAACACAGCCAAGTGTGTTCAGTTGTCATTTGCCCTGTTTCAGTTTCCACCTCAGCTTTTTAGACTCCCTGAGATGAGAGGGCCTTTGGGGAGCAATTCGGGGACAGGCATTCAGGGAGCAGACGAGAGGAAGTGAACTGGAGGAACCCTCTAGCCTCTGCACCTGGCGACTGCAGTGCTCTCCAAGGTCTTATTTTAGGAAGAAACAAAAACACATGATTTTATTTCTGCCTGATATTCATGATACTCCGTCACACCCACCATCAGTGGGACTCTGCGTGGTTATTTGGCTGCCACCTGCCTAGCAATAACTACATTAGTTCTAGTGAATGCTTTTGCATTTTTTCCTTTTATGGTTTTAGCCTTGCCCTGAAGTGCTGATTATTATTCTCTTTCCAAGCTGTGTTTTAGCATGGTGAAGCTGGGTTGGCATGTGGGCTGGGACCAGCACAAAGAGTCTTGCAAGAATGGAGAATGCCCAAGGCAGCTGCCTTAGAAAGGCAGGTGTCTGGGCTGGATGCACATCACACCACACAGGGCCACACCCTAGGCAGGCTCCTCAGAGCCAGGCAGGGCCACACCTGGCCAGTGGGCATTGCTGTGGCCCCGTATGCCTCTTGGCCTCTGAAGACCCCTAGGGGTCTGCAGGGGCCTGGATTGGAAAAGCCTGAGTCTGCCAGCCTGGGAGCAGCTTCCTGTAAGGGCACTTTTGCCTTCTGGCCAAGGAGACCAAGGTGCAGCAACCTTTGCAGCCTCAGAATTAGATTCTCCACCAAGTCTCAGGGTGCAGGAAAAACAATCACAGAAGGGGAGGGGTTGGGGGATGGTTCAGAGGAGACAGAAGCAAATAGGGTAGTGACCTGAGGCCCACTGCCCTGTCCTCATAGAGGGCCTTGCCTGCTTCCCACCCTGTTGGGTCATAACAGAGCACCTGCTGCTGGCTCAGAGGAAACTCCTTTCCCATCTTTTGCACTTTCCCAAACTAGCCTTGGTTTACAAGCTTCCTGTACCCAGAAAAGGCCACATTCCATGCCACTCTGACCCAAATAGATCTCCTGAGGGGAATCGGAGAACAAGTCTTGGCTCAGACTCAAAGACAGATGGCCTGGAAGAGAGATGAGGAGATGGCACTGCCCACACCCTCCCACACTTTGGACTGACTGAATAAAGCCAGGCAGACAGGGCAGGGCAGTGATCACTCCCTTGGGGTGGTGTCCACTAGCTCTACTCCCACCTTCCGATCAGGAAAAGCAATTGTAAATAAACGCTGGACTCAACATAGCTTCTCTTCCTTCACCACTCTGCTATTTTTGTCTCTGTGCTTCAGTTTGCATAGCACAAGCCCAAGTTTTCCCTTCACACACAACTGCTGCTCTCTAGTGGGCCCCTCCTGGTCTGGCCATTCAGCTTTGCACCACCACCTCTGCTTCCAGCCACTTGGTGGCATTGCAGAGCCAGGCTGCTCCCCACTGGCCCCCAGTCTGGAGCAGAGCTCTCCCAAAGGATTTCCATCCGAGCCCAACTCCGTTGATTCTTCTTAGGAGACAAGACTGCCTGGAATGAGATAAAACTGTCAGGAATAAGGTGTCGTGGAAACATGTGCCTAACCTATAAAGAAATTCTGTTCCAAATCATATATATTGTACAGACACTGTTCCTAATGAGAGGAGTGACTTATTTTCATCATCGTTTTTAATTTGTTTTCTTACGGGTTTACGATTCTGAATTTTTCTTATTTGGTTGAAAGAATTTTGATTATATCAGCTGAGTGAGTTCAGCCTGTAAAAAGAATGTTAAGTTGTGGATAAAATATGCAAATGAAGAGAAATATATTGTACAAATTCTATATAAAAAGTACAACTATGTGTGGACTTAATTTTTCTTCTCCTTCATCTCCATCTATTTTACTCTTGCGAAGGTTATGTTTGAGTTTCTACCAAATCCAAACTGGTGGGTTTTATAGAATTTCACACCCTTGAGGTTTAAAGGAATCAGAAAGGCTCTCTGATCCCATTCTCTGAGTGTCACTGGGAATCTGTCACCTCCTCCTGGCCACGTGAGCCTTGAGCTCAGTCCCCTCAGCCAGGACCTCCCCTCCCTCCCTGCTCACACTTGGATTCGCCAGTCTCCTTTGGGCATGCACCCCTGAGGTTTGTACACGTGAAAGATGTCCCCAAGAGTGTGCTCTCCATGCAGATACCCCAATCCCACCTTGCTGGCCGTGGCCCCTCTTGTAGCTTACTGGACCCTGCACAGCCAGTGAGGAGGAGGACAAAGACAGAAACCAAGTCATAGAGCCCTCATACAGCTTTCTTGGAACTGGTTTCCCGTTCGCCAGCCTTGAGCCTCACGCCTTTTCGTCCCTCCCATCTTTGGTTTGCCACGCACCATGTTGTCCCCTTCTCAGTTTCCCAGGGCCAGGGGCTGCCTTGTGCAAGTTGAAGAAGAGCACCTTCTTGGTGGAGGCTGGACTTAACTAGTCTTTGAGGCCCACCTGTTCCAGCCCAACCTGTCCCCCGAAACCTTGGAATCTTCTTGGGGAGCCCCAGGGAGGACCTGGACCCAGCCTCAGCCCACCTCCCCATTGCTGAGGGCAGAAAGCCTGTGTCATGCTCCCACCCCCGGGGACTGACATCTTTGCCTTCCCCAACTCACCTTGTCATCTCTGGGGTTAAAAGCGAATGTGAAAAAAAAAAAAAAAAGCGAATGTGTCCATCTGAGCCTGGGCCAGCTGGGGTGACTCACTGCCTTCGCTAAGCTGGAAAGCACGGGAGCAGGGGTAGCCCATGAGCTAACAAGGTCACAAAAACAAGGGGCTTTTTTTTTTAGTACCCGGGATTGAACTCGGGACCTTCCACTTGGGAGGCAGGCAGCAGAACCACTGAGCTAAATCCCTGGCCCACAAGGGGCATTTTGAACCCCAGCCTTTTTTATTTTCAGTTCTAGGGATAGAACCCAGGGCCTCAAGTGTACTCGGTAAGTGTCCTACCACTGAGTTATGGCCCAGCTCAACCTAGGCCCTTTTAGAACTGAAGAGAAACATTGAGTTCAAACAGCTGAGCCTTCTCATTTGATGAAGAGCCAGAACCAGTGTTGTCAGCACAGAAAGAGAAGAAAACTGGACAGGCTCAAGCCTGACACCCAGCCCCAGCCTGGCCGTAGTGTGCACACAAGCATTCACTCATCCTGTTCACCCCAAATCAGTAGTATGCCTGATGGGACTTCCTGCGAACAGCCCAGCTAAAAATCCAGGCTCTCAGGCCAAATCTCAATATGGCCCTGCATCCCTGTGGCAGACCCTGTCATCCATCTAACTGCCATTTCCTATTACTCCCTTCCCTGCTCACAGAATCCAATTTTTTTTGCAAGTGATAGCTAGAGGGTTGTTTGTTTCCCATTACTGTACTGGGATTTGAACCCAGGTCCTTTGCACTGAGCTACATCCTCAGCCCTTTTTTATTTTTTAAGATAGGATCTTAGTAATTAAGTAAGGTCCCTAGGCCAGACTCAAACTTTTGATCCTCCTGTCTCAGGCTCTCAAAGTGCTAGGTGTATGCCATCATGTCTGGCTTGGAGATTCTTTAATCTCAGGAAAGGGAAGGATTTCTACCGACTCACAAGGAAAATTGTGGTTGGCTTAAGTCCCCCTGCAAATCCCTTTCCTGTTTTCAGGATACCCCCTTTCCCAGCCCCTCTTGTGGTTAGAGCTACTCTGTGACCTAGTTCCCACTAAAGAGAAGCTGGAGCCTGTAGGGAGGCTCTGCGGGTTTTGCCCCTGCAGAGTGTGGTGGTTGGTGCTCCCTCTGCAGTCTTGCCCCCATCAGGTAAAAAGTGGGAGGCAGAAGGCCACACACTGGAACTGTAGGAGCAGAATGGTAGGAGGTGGGGTTTTCAGCTTCATTGTTTGACACCTGACTGAGCCCTAGACGTCGTGGTGGTGAAGGGTAGTGGTTGTGTGGTCTCTCGCTTGCAGATGAAAGCATTTCTGACCCAAATGTATGCAACAGTGTGGTTCCAGTAAGTGGAAAAAAGGTCACAGCTCTGTATCCTCACATTAATATGAATAGTAAATCAAGAAGAAATGGTGCAAATTTCCTTACAAAAAGTCCTATGACATATCAGAAAATGGAAAGATATCCCTTGTTCTTGGGTAGGGAGAACCAATATAGTGAAAATGGCCATACTTCAGAAATTATTATACAGACTTAATGCAATCCCAATCAAAATACCAATAGCATACCTCACAGAATTAGAGAAAACAATCCTAAAATTCATTTGGAACCAGAAGAGACCTAGAATAGCAAAAATAATTCTGGGCAACAAAGACAAGACAGGGCATCACAAGCCCTGACTTTAAATTATACTACAAAGCTACTGTGAAAAAAACAGCATGGTACTGGCAAAAAAACATACCTAAGAATCAACAAAACAGTTGAGAAGATGCAGAAACAACTCCAAACATGCTTAGCCACCTTATCTTTGACAAAGAGGCCAAACACATTCACTGAAAGAAAGGTGGCCTCTTTAATAAATGGTGCTGGGAAAATTGGCTTTCCACATGCCAAAGACTAAAACTAGACCCATGTCTCTCATCATGTACTAAACTAAAATCCAAATGTATCAAAGATCTAAATGTTAAAACAGAAACACTAAATCTACTGGAAGAGAGAATAGGTAGAACTCTTGAAGACAGATGTAGGCAAAGACTTTATGAACAAAACCCCATCACACAGGAAATACTACAAAGAATAAACAACTGGGATTTCATCTTATTTAAAAGCTTTTGCATGGCAAAAGAAAACAGTGAAGAGACAACCTATAGAGTGGGAAAAAAAATTTTGCCAACTGTTCCTCAAAGGACTAATATTTAGAATATATAAAGAACTCAAAAAAATCAGACCCCTCCCCAAATTTAAAGACCCAATTAAAAAAATAGGCATCTGAAATGAATAGGCACTTCTCAGATGAAGTAGAAATGACAAATATACGAAAAATGTTCAAAAGCACTGGTCATTCGAGACATGCAAATGAAAACAATGCTGAGATTCCATCTCACTCCAGAAACCATGTGTATTATGAAGAAATCAACCAATAACAAATGCTGATGGGGCTGTGGGGAAAAAGGAACCTTTCTACGCTGTTGGTGGGAGTGTAGACTGGAGCAACCATTGTGGAAATCGGTGTAGAGAGTTCTCAAAAAACTAAAATGAGAGGTTCTATTTGACCCAGTTATTCCCCTTTTTGGTATCTTCCCAAAAGAATTAAAAGCATCATACCACAGTGATATATACACACCTATGTTTATGGCAGCACAGTTTGTAGTAGCTAAGTCTTGGAAACAGCCCAAATGCCCATCAACTGATGAATGGATAAAGATATAATTTTTTTATACAATGGAGTACTACTCTGCCATAAAGAAGGATAAACTTGTGACATTTCTAGGTAAATGGATGCACCTTGAGACCATACTCAAGTGAAATAAGTCAGACACACATGTTTAAATACTGCATTGTTTCTCTGCCATTAGAAACCAAAAGTGGAAATAATGACCAAAGTATATAATAGATATGGGAAACTGGAAGGAAATGTTCAAATGGGAAGAACCAGGGAGTGGGGAGTGGGAAAGGAAGGAAGGGACAAGAAGAAAAGTGAAGAGAAGGAAAAAATGGAAACAAAGCTTTTGTAAATGAGGAGGGAAAGACAGGCTCAAGGGAGGGGAGGGGAGGGGGAAGAAAGGAAGTTATGTACAGGTACAAATTCCCTATGATGAATGTTATCATTATGTATATCTAAAGTGCACCAATAAAAATATTTTCAAAAGCCTTGTGACAGTATCCAGTCAAGCCTGATGGCATCAAGTTGCAGCCTTTACCAAATTCTTCTTCTCAGGGATTGTTGTCCATCCCTTGCTCAGGTTCAAAGAAGATCCAGGCTTTAAGTTTGGAAGCTCTGTCCCAGGATTTGTTCTTCTTCTTCTTTTTTTTTTCAGTTGTAAATTAAACTCCAAAACCAACCATTTAAAAGAAATATCTATTGACTTCTAAAACTGAAATCTGCCGGGTGTGGTGCCTCACATCTGTAATCCTAGCACTCGGAAGGCTGAGGCAGGAGAATCTGCCATGAGTTTGAGGCCAGCCTGGGCTACATAGTGAATTCAAAGTCAGCATGAACTACATAGTGAGATTCTGTCTCAAATAAACAAATCAAAAATATAAAACTGAAAAGCCAAGGTTGTATCTGGCCCCAGGCGAGGCTAAGTTCCAGGGGCTCGAAGATGTCAGGTCGGGTCAGTCTGTCTGTCTCTCCCATCGCTCCACCCAGGTCCTTCCCTCTCATCCCTCCTCTGCTTTCCCCCGGGGCCTTCACTGAGGTGAAGGTGAACCTGAATAGGCCAGGTGAGGATTCCCACCAGTCCCCAGTGGAGACGGCTTCCCTGAGCAGGTAGCTGATGTCTTCTAGCCATGATTTGCCTTCATGTTTCAACAGCTACTAGGAAAACCCATGAGCTTGCAAGTTGTCGTCTGAGAACTGCTGAGCAACACAGCACCTGTGACAACTGGGCAGATGAGGTGCCCAGGAAATCCCCACACAGCCCCGTGAGTCCCGACATCACAGGTGCAGGGCAGCTTGCTGCTCCGCCTGGCAAAATGCCCCTCAGTGCTATGGGCACAGGGGCCCTGTTAGCATAGAGAGACTTCTAACGTCACTTACTGTTTTCTTTCTTAATTAAAAAAATTAATTGACACATAGTTGTACCTGTTTGTCTGGTACATGTAGGAAATATGTAATGGTTAGTTCAAGATGTTGGGTACATCATCTCAAACATTTGTCAGTGTGTGTGTGTGTGTGTGTGTGTGTGTGTGTGTGTGTTGGGAGCATTCAAAATCCTCTCTTCAGGAGGTAGCTCAGTATTAGAGCAAATGCTTAGCATGTACAAGGCTCTGGGTTCAAACCCTAGCACCAAAAAAAATTTTCCTCTTCTATTTTGAAGCTTGCTTGCTTGCTTGCTTGCTTTTCTTTCTTTCTTTCTTTTTTCTGGTTGTTATTGTTGTTTGAGACAGGGTCTTGCTATGTACCGCAGGCTGGCCTCCAACTCTCAGTGATCCTCCTGGCTCAGCCTCCTGAGTCCTGGAATTATAGGCATACAACACCACAACTGGCTCACTAAAATTTTTTAAAAGGACTATGTAAAGAAGATGTGGGTTTTTTTTATAAAATGGAGTACTACTCAGCCAAAAAGAATGAGAAACTAGAGACATTTGTAGCTAAATGGATGCATATTGAGGCCATACTCTTAAGTGAAATAAATAGGACACACATGTAAATACCACATAGTTTCTCTAGTGTGAGAAACTGAAAGTGTAAATAAGGATTAAAATGATTAAACAATAAGAGCACATGTTAAATAGGAAGAAAAGGTCCAAAGGGGTAGGGGAAGTGGGAGGGGAAGGGGAAAGGAAAGAAGGGAAAGGAAAAATTATGAGAAAAGGAAAAAATGGAAATAAAGTCTTTGTAAATAGGGAAGGGTGGAGGGGTTGAAGGGAGCACAGAGAATGGGGAAAAAATAAAAACTAAGATATATCATGTACAGGTACAAGTACCCAATCATAAATGTAAACGTATTGTATACCTAAAATGTACCAATAAAAGAATTTAAGCAAAAAAAAAAAAGGACTGTAGATGTAGCTCAGTGGTAAAGCACACATTTAGCATATGCAAGACCCTTGGTACAATCTCCAGTTCTACAAAAACAAAAAAGAAGAAGAAGAATAGGGGACACCTGTAGTCTTAGCTACTTAGGAGGCTGGGGCAGGAGGATCCCTAAGCCTAGAAGTTCAACAGCCCGGGCAACATGAGACCCCACATCGAAAGAAAAGAAAAAAAGGAATGAAAGGGTGGCGGAATTAGTATAAATCTTAAGGAAGTAAAAAAAAATTTAATTATAAAGGAATACTATGAATAAAATGTCAACAAAATAATTTAGATAAAATGAATGAATTCTTAGAAAGATGCAAAGTACCAAAACTGACTCAGAGAAAATAGAAAATCTAGGACAAAAAAAAAGAAAATCTAGGAGTAGGGGTGTAACTCAGAGGTCTTGCCTAGTATGTGTAAGAAAAATGGGAAGGGAGGAAGGGAGGGAGGGAGGGAGGCAGGCAGGCAGGCAGGCAGGCAGGCAGGCAGGCAGGCAGGCAGGCAGAGAAGGAAGGAGGAAGTTTCAGGGCCGGGGATTTAGCTCAGTAGTTCCACTGCCTGCCTCGCAAGCACAAGGTCCCAAGTTTGATCCCTGGTACCAAAAAAATAAAAAGAAAGGAGGAAGTTTGGAAAGGAAGAACCAAAACTATATCTATTTGCAGATATGTGATCTTGTCTATGTAAAATCCTAAGGAATCCACTAAAAAAATACTAAAACACACAGGTGAGTTTAACAAAGTTGCAGGACACAAGGTCAATACATAAAAATAAATTCTATTTCTGCACACTTCAATAAAGAATCTGCAAATGCAATTAACAAAATTATTCCATTAACATAGCTGGGTGGGGAGGCTAAGGCAGGAGAATCACTGTAAGTTTGAGGCCAACTTGGGGTACATAGTAAGTTCAAGGCCAGCCTGAAATACATGGTGAAATTCTGTCTCAAAAAAATAAGTAAATAAGTAAACAAAAAAGAAAATAATTCTATTAACAGTAGCATCAAAGAGTAAAATACTTAGAGTAAAATACTTACATTTGTCAACAGAAGTACAAAACTTACAGAGTGAAAATAAAAAAATACTGTTGAAGGAAACTAAAGATCTAAATAGATGGGGAAAATTTAAATATTCATAAGTCAGGGAAATTAATTTGTTAAAATAGCAATACTCCCCCCAAAATGATCTATAGATGGAAATGGACCAGCCCACAAACTTCATGGCTTATAACAACAAAAGGCTCATTGCTGTACAGTTTCTGTGTCTGGAATCCAGGCACAGCTTAGCTAGGTGCCTATGGCTCAAGGTCTCTTATGAGACTGAAGCTATCTCATGATTTTACAACTGTTATCCCGGCCCTCAAAGGGAAATTGAGGCAAGAGGGTCATAAGTTTGAACTTAGCCTGAACATTTTAGCAAATTAGCGAGAACTTGACTCAAAAACTAAAAAAGGGCTGGGATGTAGCTCAGTGCAAATCCCCTGGGTTTAATTCCTAGTAATGGGGAGAAAAAGAAATTACCAGAGCTAAAAGATCCACTTGCTTGTGTGGTCAGTAAGCTTCGAGTCTGCACAGGCCATGGGACTGAAGGCCCTAGACCCCCACACACTGCTTGGGCTTCTCTATGTTGCCTCAGAACATTGCAGTTTACTTTCTCCAGCATGAATGCTACAAGAGTAAGAGCACTCAAGCAGGAAACCACAGTATTTTTATAACCCAATTTCAAAAAGGAAGAGCATCACTTCTGCTTTCTTATTGGCCAGAAGCTGTCAGGAAGTCCTGCCCACATTCCATGGGAGAGGATTGCAAGGCTGGGGGTGGGGTCACAGAGGCCCTCTCAGAGACTGTCCTCCACAGCCCCGCTACTCTTTCCTCAGGGCACAGATCACTGTGTACCTGTGTTAACTGTGGCTTTGTTTTTTGTGGAACATCTCCCTGTTAGGGCTGGGATTTAGCTCACTGGTGCCACTGCCTGCCTTGCAAGCGCAAGGTCCTGAGTTTGATCTCTAGTACCCCCCAAAAAGCTTCTGAACATCTCCCTGTTAAACTGTAAGCTCCATGGTTGTGGAGACAATATTCATCTTTGTCATCATAGGGTGTCCACGTTAGAGCATAGAACCAAATACAAGGTGCTTACCAAATATTAGTGGAATGAACAAATTTATAAATAGTTACTTTGATCACATATAGAAAATGCCTGGCAGCATAGGTAGGAAAGTGAGGAGTGGTTTTTTTTTTTAGGAATACACATGCGAGTAGAAAGGAGAAAGACTTTTAAATATCTCTCCTCTTTCTTCCTCTGAACCATTTGAATCCTTAGCCATGAGGAAATGCTACTTTCACAATCAAAACTTTTATTGAAATAAATGCTCCATAACATCACAGATAAATGACAAACTGGAAAAATATTTACAACATATACAACCAAAGGTTTTTCATAATCTATAAGCAGCCCTTAACAAGTCAATAAAATAAAGATTGGGCCAGGGATTTAGCTCAGTGGTTTTGCTGCCTGCTGCGCAAGTGCAAGGACCCAAGTTCAATCCCTGGTACCAAAAAAGAAAAAGAAAAGAAAAGAAAGATTGACCCACCAAAAATAAAAAAGGGCAAGAGACAGAAACCGACAATTCTCAAAATAAAAAATACAAATAACCAATAGCAGATGATAAATATTCACCTGTATGAGTAAAGAAATGCAGAAAGGGGTGGGAAGGAGAAGGAGAGGGAGAGAGCAGGCAGGGATGAGTGTGGGTCTCCAGGCACCAGCTGGGCTGGCAGGAAGGGAACCTGAGCCTCCTGGCCCACTCCCTATAGCAGCACTGGCAACAAGATCAGAGCCTGAGAGTAGCCAGCCCTTCACACCCACCACTCTCACTGATCTATGACCTGCTAAGATGTATCTTTGCGGCCCTGGAGACCCCCAAACACCCACATTAGAGCACTGGTTAAATGTGATGAAGTACTATGCAGGTGACTAAAACAGTATTATACAGGTGTTACGGTTTGAATGTGGTTGATCCCCACCAAAGTTCACTTTGAGATTACATCCCCAAGATAATGACATTGTGAAGTGGTTGGGCCTTCAGGAGAATCCACCCTCATGAAAGGGTTAGTGCCATCTTACAGGAGTGAGTCCTCACTCTCATGGCTGGATTATTATCGTGAAAGCATGGTGTTATAAAGCAAGTTTGCCCCTCGTGTCTCTCTTTTCCACATATGCCCACTTGTCCTTATGCTTTCTGGCACGAGTTGAAGCAGCACAAAGCCTTCCCCAGATGCAGGAGCCCCTCTTGGATTTAGAGACTACAGCCCTAAGCCAAAATAAGCCTCTTCTTATAAATTATCCAGCCTCATGTGTTCTGTTACAGCAGCAGAAAATGGACTAAGACAACATGTATACATATTGATATGCAAAAGTGTTCACCACATATTACTAAGTGAGAAAACAAGATATAAATAACAACCACCAACCCTTTATGTAAGAGAAAATATATTTGTAACCTATAGAGAAAGCTCTGACAAAACTTGCAGTAAAATGTTAACGTTGGTTATCACCAGTTGTGAGCTTATGGTAAATGTAACCACTTTCTGTTTATCTACTTTTAATTTTCTGTCCAATAAATGTGTAAAACTTAATATAATTTTTAAAAAGGAAAATAAAGGGGTTTTTTTCAAATGTTCTATTGTGAGAGGTGGCTTTTTCATTTGTTTTTGAATTTGTCACAGGGCTTGGCTTTCTGGGCTCCAGGCTGGAACATGTGGCAGGTTTCCTGCCTGGGGAATTGTATTTTTTCCAGGCTGCCTGAGAAGCACTGGGAATTTAGAACAAACAAGAGTTGCCCGCTTCTCACAGGGCCTGGACCCTGGGTACCTCCTGGAGCCTGGGTCACACATGGCGCTGGGCCCCAGTCCCACAGGTCATCGCTGCTGCCCTGACCAAACTTCACAGCCCACTCAGTCCTGAGCAGAGAATGCAGGCCTGTGTGTAATGCGACCTGTGGTTATGAGCACTGTAATGTGAGCCTCTGTTGTTCTTACTATTTTCCTGGAACCACACAAGTTTTCCCTCTCTGTTGCTCACACTATAAGAGTAACCATGTGACACAGGCTTGGCCAATCAGGACGTTCCATTGGCTTGCTATAGTGATTGGTCCAGGCTTGGACCCAAGACCCCAGTCAACCTAATAAGCTCAGCCCTGGGGATTTTGTTACAAGCGCTGGGATTTCTGGGAGAAAGATGCCTGGGCCAGGAGTGCAGGTGGGCCTTCCTGTTTAGACCGTAAGAATAAAGGCTACCAATGCTTTGTCTGCCCCTCCAGTACAGCCAACCTGAGGCCAGCTACCCTGGATTTTGCAGTCCTGTGAGCAAAGTTTTCCATTTTTGCTCAACTACCCTGAGTTGGGTTTCTGTCACAACCAACAGAGGCTTAACTCCTTTGAGCAAGGAGCTGGGGCTATTCAAGAACCAGAGACGCAGCTATGATGGGCAGTGGGTCCCTGCCTGGCAGAGCACAAGCCCAGGAATCTCCAGGCTTGCCTCCTGTGGCTGGCCTTGCCTGTGGTGCCCCCAGCAGGCCCATCCAGTAAACCAGCCTCTGAGTCCTTCCATCTGCATGGGACCTGCAGATTTTGTAAACTCTCCCACACAAATTCCTCGCCAGCAGGAGAGCAAGATGCTGAACTCAAATTCCCCCAAAACACTTAGCTTCCGCTTCCAAACTTCTTAATGTCTCTCATGGGAGCTTAAATTTTGTGTAAATTTTGCATTCTCTACCTGTATGCTCTGATTTTTAAAGACTATTTTCTGTGGTGACTTTTGGAAATTATACCTTTTTCAAGTATATTAAACAAACATTTTCTCCTATTCTGTGGTTTTCTTTTCACCCTCTGACTAGGGTCTCACCCACAACCACCCCCACTTGAACCCAGGGAGCACTCAGCTTTTTTTAAAAATTTTTGAAACAGGGTCTAAGTTGCCCCAGCTGCCCTTGAACTTGAGATTCCCCTGCCTCAGCCACCGGACAGCTGGGAATTAACAGTGTCTTTTGATGCGCAAATGTTTTTCATTTTGACGAAGTCCGGTTTATCCAGTTTTTCTTTTCTTGTATGTGCTTTCAGTGATCTAAGAAACCATTGTCACATTTGAGGTTATGGAGATTTGCGCCTATGGCTCTGGGAGAATGAAAAAGGGCAGAGTAGAAGAATGAAATAGTGAGGATAGCAACAAGACAAGAGGACAACGCAAGAGAGAAAATAAATGGAGAGGGAAGAGGGAACTGGAAGCAGGGGCAGGGAGAGGCAGGCTGCCGGCTGGGGATGGGGGTCCACCACACACCAGAGGACAAGGGTCAGCTCGATAAGGGCACAGAAGCTGGGGTCAGCATGAGACGGAGACATGAGAATGGAGGAAGTCTGGGCTGAGGGCCCTTCCCCTGGCCCCCTGGACAGCCCAGGGGGGATAATGGCCTCCCAGGGTGCCAGGGCTTGGAGCACCTGGCTGATAGTTCTCAGCTCCTGAAAAAATTATTTGTCCCATGCCTTACCTCAAAACAACAGATTTTAGTGTTTCTGGGAAAAATAGTGCAGTGATCTAACTCATGAATTCAGAAGCCCGACTCTCAGGCTTCAAGTCTTAGGGCATCTTCGTCTGTGTTGTGCTACTTTAACAGAATCCCACCTACAGTCACTTATAGCGAAGAGGGATTTGTTTGGCTCATGGTTCTGGAGGCTGGGGTGTCCCAGAAGGAGGAGCTACCTCTGGGAAGGCCTTGAGCTGCTGCACAACATGGAGGGAGGCGAGAGCCGGGGGAAGGAGGCCAAGTTCACCCTTTATAAGGACCCGCTCCCGTGATGGGAAACACACTCCTGGGATAATGACATTACTCATGACCTAACTGCTTCTTAAAGTTCCCACCGCTCAGCACCATTGCATCAGAGATTGAGTTTTTAACACGTGAACTTTGGGGGAGATGTTTGAACCACAGCATGGGTCTACTCGAAACTAGGTGTGAACGTGGACAAGTCCTTTCACCTCTCTGAGATCCCAGAGAGACGATCCAAGGAGGAAAACCTCAGAATGTACCTAAACATCCTGCATGCCAAATATCAGATAGCATCGCACGCCTGGGGAAATGGAGGAGCAGATTCCAGAGATGTTTAATGACACATTTTCTAATTCTTTTCATATTTAGTGCTTCACAATGAGGATGTATGCGTTTATAAGTAGGAAATGCAGTGGACCTCGGGCTCCATGCCGTGCTGGGGTGCCAGGCTTGCTCTTGGGCCGGGCTGGGAAGCCAAGGGCAAAGGCCACACGATTGGTTTGACCCAAGCACAACCAGGCTGTGCTTGCCTTGGAGTCGGCTCAGGCAGGAAACAGTGGCTTCTGAGAGTCCCAGACCCTTTGTGTCTGGGACTGACTGCTGAGCAGAGGCTGCCAGGGCACCTCTAGGAGAGCCAACGGAGATCCTTCCAGTGTGTGGGCTTGAAAGCGTCTTCTGGATGTGGAGGGGAGGTGACACATGTTTCTGGGAATGGAACCCCAGCCCAGCAGGATCCAAGAGCCAGGGCAGTCTGTGATGCCTGCTGTCAGCCTCTGACCCTGGCTGCAGAGTCACATCTGCTATTTGGCCAAGGCATGGGCTCCTCCGCTCCTCCTTGAGGGGAAGCTGGCATTGTGTTCTCAATGGCCAGTTGTGGAAAAATCACACACATAAGCTGAGTAAACAGAGACTCAGGGCCGCCACCATGGGAACAGTGGGTGGAGGTGGCAGTGCGGCTGGAGCAGGGTGGGACACGACTTGGCCTAGATTCACCTTGGAGCAGGAGTCTGCTGAGACTGAACCAGGGGCCTTAGAGTGGCCCAAGGAGGTCTGAAGCCCAGAGAGTTCCCCAAGGACACCCAGGACGTCAGAACCAGGGCCAAGGGCAGCACCTTGGCCTCTTGGCTCTTGCTCCTCTAGCTTCTCTATCAGATAGGCTCGAAGAGAAACAGCAGACATTTCTTTTTGAACTGTCATTTTGAGGAGGCTTTGGGGACAGCCTTCATCCTTCATCTTTCAGGCATGACCTTGACTGATTCCCAAAGCAAGGAGCCATCAATATCCAGGTGAAACTGGAGGTGGTTTAAGTGCTGCTTTTTGCTGTTTGGTTAAAGCCCTCCATCATCCTCAGGAGGATGTTTGTGCCTAGAAGACACTGGCACACAGTGGATGAGCACACTGTGGTAGTCTTCACACGTGGGTGACATGAGCACATCTTAGTCACTTTCTTATCTCTGAGACACCTGCAACTTAAAGGAGGAGAGGTTTGTTTTGGCTCACATTTTTAGAGGTTGAAGTCCTTGCATGATTGGCAGGATGGCAGAAGGGCCTGGTAGGGGAAAGCTCCTCACATCGCGGCAGCCAGGAAGTGGAGAGAGTGAAGGGAGAAGATGGGGAGTGAGATAGACCATCCAGGTCATGTCCCCAGTGACCTGCCTCTCCCCACCAGACCCCAATAGCAAGTTAGCTATAAGGTCCTCATAATCCAGTCATCTCCCCAAAGCCCCACCTTTGAGCGAAAGAGGCATCTAGATAGAGACCATAACATAACACATGGGAGACCTTAGAATCAAAGGTTCCTCAGATAAAGCTTATGACACACTACCGGTACCAAGGGCCTGTAATCAAGGGCAGATTCATTTATGGGTGACCACCTGCATTAAGAACAGAAGTACAGAGAGAGGCAGGCTGGGGACTGGCTGATTTTGCTTCCTGCGAAGATATACCCATATTCCTTTGGAAGTAGTTGGGTTTAGGGATGAAGTCAGATTGCTCTTGGGACATTGCTATTTCCTATTTCTAAGAATAAGGATCAAACAGCATTTCCCTCGAGAATCCCCTGGCCCATCCCGAGGAGGGACTTGTCTGCTTAGGCCCAGGGCTGTCCCTCAGCCCGTTTGTCATCCTGTGAGGCTGAACTGAGTCACAAGCTGGATCCAGGGCCCACCCTGTGCTACAAGCCTCCCCCACTCCCTCCCACTCTTTCTGTCCCTCTAGGTCCCTAGGGGTGGCTTTGTTTAACCTCTGCTGGGGCAATGGGGAAAGGCAAGGCAGAGTGGGCTGGTGTATTCACAGACTGTGACAGGTGGGATGACTATCAGTGCAGGGGCAAGGACACCCCTGCACCTGCTGGGGGCCACAGCTTAGCCAGGTGCCCCCTTCTCCGGACACTGCAGAAGCTCCCCAGCCCCACCCCTGTCTGCCCAAGCCTCTGTCAGCCCTGAAGCCTGCAAGCCCCTCACACCTCACCTCTAGAGCCTGCTCTCCAGAGGGTAGGGACAGGACAGGAGGGTCCCGGGCAGGGACGGCTGCCTCTGGGACGTCTTTGGTTTTCGTGGTGACCTGGCAGACTTTATCTGAAGAGGTGACAGAAGCACCCACTGGCTTTCTCCTTGACATCCAGGCCCCTGTAGCCCAGTTGGCTGAAGTTGCCTGGGCCTGTGGCTCTTCATACTGTGCCTGTGGATGGGCCTGGCCAGCCGGGACCCATGGTGCCCAGACATGACCTCTGGAAGGCACACAATTATTCAACCCTGGGTACAGGTGCCAAGATGTGGATTTACACACACGACCTGAGGCAGGGCTGAAAAAATTGTTCCAATACCATCCCAACCAGCAAGCTTCAGCTTTTTCTGGGTTGTGTAACTCAGTGATAGAGGGCTTGTTTGGCACATATGAAGCCATAGGTAAAAAGAAGGGGTTGAAAAAAAAGCACCAAAGGAAACAAAACACAGACACAGAATATTTGCAACCCCAGAAGCTGGACAGAAAACCATAGGCCTGAGGTCACAGCATGACTCCTGAGCGACTGGTTCCATCCTTTATCCCCGGTACCCATCCACCCCATGTGATGGCTCACAGGAAATGCAGTGGCACCCAGGCTCACGGGTTTGTCTCCCGACCTGTGTGACCTCCGCACTAGAACATCTGTCACCCGAAGTGGCAGGTAGGCAGGTCTGTTGGAGCAGGCAGCATTCCTTCATCAGTGAAGCCTCCAATTAATCATTTAGGCTACAAGCAAGCAGTTTCCCTTCTTTGTTCTCCCCAGGACCCCCAGTGGTGTCACCCCCTGCCTGGTACCCTGGCTCCTGGGCTAATGGGCACCCTGGGCCCTCCTCAGCACCACACTGTGCTCTTTCCCCATTCCAAGGCCAGGGCATAAGGCCAAAGCCCAGGACGGACTGGCAACATGACCTTGAGACATCTTTCTGCTGGTCCAGCCTCACTGACTTTTCTACCAGGCTGGGGACAAGCCCCAGTGTCTCCAGTTTCTTCCTATCCTGGAAACCACCTCTGCCTCCTGGGGTCCTGAGAGATGCACAGAAGAGCCGAATCACAGCTCCATCGCACTCAGTCACTGAGTGGGAAGCCGAGCGGCGTCACCCACTCCACTTATCTCACCCTTCCTCTGCCTCCCTGTCTACTGGGAGACCAGGGGTGAATGTAGAACATGCCCCTGCTGCTTTGGATGGTCACAGCTGACACTTGCTGGGCCTATGCTATGTGCCAAGCATGGTGCTAAGAGCTTATATCACTTAGAGGATGTTCATTTGAAAGGAGTGGACAACACAGACAGTAGTTGCTTTGAATAAAGGCATTGAAAATCATCTGTCAGAACAAGAAGTCTAAGAGTTGGTAATTTCAGGCTCTCTGGCAGCTCAGCAATGGTCCCGCCCACTGCCCCCATCTTCTTCCTCTACTCCCGATTTGCGAGTTTTATATTCCTAAACTAGATGCCTCATGGCCACAAAGTAGCTGCTGTAGTCCTCAAGTATCATAAACTTTTTGCCAGGAGGAAGTAAGGTAAGCAGAGTCTTCATTCTCTGTGTTTTATTCAGGAACCCTCTAGCAAGCTTCCTCTCATACTTCATTGGCCAGAGCTGGCTGACATGGCCATCCTCTGCTGCCAGGGAAGTAGAAAGCCAGTATCTGGCAAAGAGGAAGGGCACTTGGCTTAGACGATTCATGATTCATGCTCTAGGGTAGGCACTTTACTACCTGGAGTGAATTCAGCCCTCTGTTAGCAAAAGGTGTTGTGGGGTGGGGCTGGGGGTGGGGATGGAGTGATCTCTATTGCATGGCCAGCTAAGAATATGCATGTGTTTTCTCAAATTCACAACCAACTACTATGATTCTTATTTTACAGATGATACAACTGAGACTCAGAGACATTTAGCAACTTTCCTGAGTAGGTAAATAAGTCACTGGTAAGGATTTAACTTCAGATCTGTCTCCACAGGATGTGCCTTTAGACTATCATACCCTGGGGTACCTGCTGCTTTAGTATACTTCTTCCCACTTCCAGATTATGAACCTCTTGAAGGAAGAGACCCCATCTTTATCTTTGAATTTCAGCAATGTCCTGCAATTCACAGCGGTCCCACTGCATTGATTTAAGCACAAAACCATTTGGTTTTGATACTTGCTGTCTTGCAATATGTTTTAAAGCCAAGACTACAAAGTTGCCAAAGCTACCTTTACAAAATACACCTGATCTTTTCTTCTGTATTGTTTTCCACTTACCCATGCTGAGCTCCTGAAGTTCTGGGCAGAATTCCAAAGTAAATATCACCCTCGTCGGAAATTTGGGGCGGGATGAAGGAGAGGAGGGTGAAAGACCAACTGAAACCCTGAAGAGTGTCAGTTCCTCATTAATTGTGGAGCCATGGAAAATTCTTTGTTCCCGCCTGCTGGCTTCTTGCCTCCAGGATCTGGGTGGGTATTGCCTTTGGCCAGCTTCCTGGCCAGGTCACAGACAGTCTGATCAGAGGTGAGTGTCCTGGGGAACAGAGATCAGAAGCAGGTTGGGTCCTTCGGAGTGGGTCCGAGAACCAGAAGGGCCCTGCACACTGACCCCACCCCACCCCCCTTTGCTATCAGGATGGCCCTGGGAATGTGATGCTCCACTTACCATTGTACAGCAAGAAAACAGGCTCAGAAAGGTGAAGTCACTTGTCTGAGGTCACACAGTGGAGCTGGAACTAATGGACTTCTCAGGTGATGTTCCTATTCTCATCACAGGTGACTGGTAGGGCCCTCAGATCCTTAAAGAGGATATTTGGGAAACAAGTAGACCCCAGCCCATCCTCAGGGCTTTCATCAGGCTGTGTAACTCAGCAGTCAGAGCCAGGCTAGGAGCCCTGCCATGGGGCAGGCAGGCCACCCTCCTGCTTTTGACAACATGTGGCCCCTGGCTCACTGGGCATAATAGAACCAGCTCCTCTAAAGAGTGAGGGCCAGGGCTGTGGCTCAGTGGTAAATCACTTGCCTAGCATGTTTTGGCATCGATCCCCAGGACTGGGGGAAAAAGTTTAAAAAAAGATGAAGCCCTTCTCAGGTACCCACACCACGAAGGAGTCCAGCTCTGCTATTTCTTTCTCTCACACCCCCTGTAGGTGACATAACCCCTGATGTCCCTGAAAGACTGACCAGGAGGACCTGGGCTGATTTGGCTACGCAAAAGAGGGGTGTGACTCCAGGGAATCTGAGGCAAATGGAAACCAATTTGCAAACCTGGGCATTTTCATGCAAATCTGGGCATTTTCAGTGTGGTTGTTGAAAGCCAGGGGACTTTCAGTGTGGTTGTTGAAAGCCCAACTAAAGCTCCCATCCAGCGACATCCAGCATGCCTGCCCACTCCCGGAGAGACTGCGCTCAGGGTAACACAGATCCCCTTGGTCTCCAGGCTGAGCTGGGTTCGCCTTAAGTCAAGGCCTCGGGGAGGAAGGCCAGAGAGGTAGAGGACATGCCAAAGTCACTCACAGGGCCACGAGGGTCAGAGAACCCCACCTATGTGTCTGGCTTGAGGCTGGCCACAGCCCAGGCATCAGGTGTCTCAGACAGGGTGCCTAGCTCTGCCACTCAGGGAAACTGGGTGCCTTTGCCAACTTCTCCCTCCCCTCTGAGCTCCCAGGCCCCACCTGGGGACCTGGAAAGGACCCAGAGCACTGGAGCTGACCTGGCAGATGCAAGGCCCAGGCACTGGGCCACAATGACAGGATATCCCCAGGGAGCTGGGCTGGCCGCCCACACAGGGAACACCGGGGAGGAGACCTGGCACATAGGAAGAGAAGGCCCACAAGGCCAGCAAGGGCGAAAGCTGGGCTGGGACAGCTGGGCCCGGAGGGGCAGAGAACAGGCCAGTGTTGTCATGGAAACCATGGCCATGACTACAGGTAGGGGGTGCACAGAGAAAATTGGGTTCCCCAAAGAGAGACCTGGGTTTTTCTGCTGCCCCCAGCCTGAGAGCCATGGGGAGGGTGTGGGTCTCCAGCCACTTTGTCCTGGTGGCCATTAGACCAAGTTCCTTCCGGGGATCATGTCCCACACTCACTGCCCAGCAACCTTGGCCGGGGGTGGAGGTGTCCCAGACCCCCTCAGCAGTGTGATGCCCAGGGAAAGGAACCCACCCTGGCTTGTGGACCTGCCCAGAAACCCTAGCCCAGCCCCAGGCCTGGAAGTGCCCTTTAAGGAAGGCTCGCCCAGCAGCCCCTACCCTTCGCCCTGTACACAGTGGACAGGTATGGTTCCCCAAGCCCAAGGCGTGACCAAGAGGAGCTCTTAGGTGCCCTGCAGGCCTCTGCCACACCCAGAGAGCAAGGCCACTCTCAAATTCCTTTCAAGTTGTGTCTAAAGGCCTCTAATGTCTGGTGTGACCATTTACAAGGCAAATAAGAGTTTTGCATTTCACCCACTTCTAACCCACTGCTGACTACCGCTGAAGCCCTGGGGACAAACTAATCAGGCTTGGCAGAGGACAGGGACCATCTTGAGCCTCCTTCCTGCCACACAGGGCCTCTCCCCTTGTTGCCAAGGGGTGGATAGTTGCAGCACAAGACCAGCTAAAAGACCGCACTATATTGTGGCAGACAAAGCAGCATGGAGCTAAGAGGAGAAATCTAACTCATTTTATGGCCAAGCCTTGAGACTTGGGCCCCTGACCATACCTGGGAATGGGGAGTCTGACATAGCCCATAGTAAGAGTGGCCCTTAAAAAAAAAAAAAAAAAAGAGTGGCCCAAGCTGATAACGTGGGTGCCCATTCATTCTTAATTTTCCAGCACTGTACCTCATTTGCTTTTTTAAAATTTTTTGGTACCAGGGATCAAACTCAGGACCTTGCACTTCCTAGGCAGGCGGCGCAGCACCACTGAGCTAAATCCCCAGCCCTCGTTGCTTTTCTTATCTTATTGCATTGGCCAGAACCATGTTCATTTAACCAGTATCTTTGAGGGTCTCATGCATGGGTATGGATCCATGGGCACTGGGCACTGAGATGAACCTGGAGGGCTACAGACCCAGCTTCTGCCTCACGACCTTTCCAACCTAGAGGCAGCTGTCTGACCTTCACACGCAGGGCTCCCCCTTAGGCCTCACGATGATCCCAAAACTGCGTTTGTCTTAGAGAGATGCACTGCTTACAGACTGCAGATGGGAACTAAGCCCAACACAGAGACACACAGGAACACTGGGTCATTCTGGGTGGGGGCAGAAGGCAGTGAGAGGCCCAGGACTTTTTGGAGAGGGCTTTTGAAGGATAAGGAAGGTTTAGAATCAGTGCACATTTATAATCCCAGCTACTTGGATAGCTGAGGCAGGAGGATAGCAAGTTTAAGCTCAGCCAGGGCAACTTCTCAACTTTAGTGAAATTCTGTCTCAAAAATTTAAAAAATAGGGGCCAGGAATGTAGCACAGTGGCACAGTGTCTGCCTGGCAGGCGCAAGGCCCTGAGTTCAATTCCTGGTACCCAAAAATATAAAAAATTTAAAAAAGGGTAGGGGATGTAGCTCAGTATGAAAGCTGTGAGTTCAATCCCCTGTACCATCAAAGAAGAAGAAGGAGAAGGAGGAGGAGGAGGAGAAGGAGGAAGAAGAGGAAGAGGAGGAGGAGGAGAAGGAGAAGAGAAGGAGGAGTGTTTCTCAATACAGGTAATAACATGGGCAAAGATGGGCAAAGGTGAGAAGGGAGGTCTAGAGGAGACAGGTCCATGTGACTGGAGTCTGAGGTGGAGGAGGGGCAGGGACATGAGACAAGCTGGCGAGTTGGCCTGAAAGACTAGCCTTGGAGTTGCTCTTCCTCAGGAAAAGCATAGGGCAGTGGTGGCGAATCTATGGCAGTGGGCTGTTTGTATCATTAAAAGCTCTAAAAAGCTCCCATCACTGGCGTAGGAAGTCATGGATGGCACTTGAGCTGGGGAGTAGCTGCATAGCTACTTTAAGAAGAGAACTGTGTAGCAGCAAAAAGAGGAGGCAGGCCTGGAAGGGGCAGGCCTGCTCTCAAGGGACACATTGTCCCTTCCTAACATCTAGGGGGCGTCTCTGCTACCGTTGGGAGGGAGAGGACAACTTCCTCTTCTCTATCTGGCTGGGCAGATAAGGGGGGGAGGACAGGAAGTTGCCTCAAGGAGCTGCAGAATGAGCAGCCTGGCCCGTGGTGGACTTGGCTCCCTGTGCAGGCATCCTGCAGAGATGGATTCCAGAGGGAAGGTGCAGTTCCCTCAAGGCAAAATGCTATGGAGTCCTGGGCTGATGAGGGACCCCATGTGCTTGCTCTTCTGCTGGTGAAAAACCCCGTGTCCCCAGCCACAGCAGACTTTCACAGGCTCTGTTCCTAAGAGCCTCCCCTTAGCTCAGCCATTCAGCATATGCAGGCCTGACAGTCCCTGGGAGACAGATCAGCCAGACCTGGTGGCTCTGCCTTCAGGGTGTTGGGAGAAGGGGGAGCGGAGCAGATGCTCAGCACCAGGGCTGTGGGTGCTGACAGGGTTACCAGAGCACAGCGGCCCTACTGGCTCAGGATCAGGGGGCTGCTAGCAGCCCAGCCCGCTGAAAAGTGGGGAGGTGGTCCCCACAGAGGGAGTAGCAGCCAGACCTTCCTACTATGAGTAGGGAGCGAGACCTGGCCCCAGGCGGGGGTGGGGGGTGGGGCACCCCCAGGGAGGCAGGAAGTAGCAAAGATGGTGTGGAACCCCTGGGAGAAAGAAAGCCTCAGAGCCTCGCAGTGGGAAGAGCAGGTGAGCACCGATGGCTGGAGGAGGGTGTGCAGGTGGCTCCAGGCCAGGGCTCTAGGCCAGGACCCACGGGGCATGTGTGTCAGGTGCTCGCGTAGGGGTCCCCACACCTGAGAGATGGAAACAAAGAACCTGGGGGGTACCACTCAGAACAGTGGGGAGCACAGGCCTTCCTCACCTGTGCCCTGAGCAGGGCTGTCGGCGGGAAAGGAGTAGATTGTGAATCAGGGCTCAGTAGCAGGGCCTTAGCCCCACCAGCCTGTGGACCCCGGTGACTGTGAGAGAAGGTGACATTCCCAAGCCTAGAGGGCTGTCTGCGTCTTGATGCAAACCCATTTACAAGCTAAAGTGGGGCAGTGGTGGGTCACCCCAGCCTCTCTGTCCTCTCTGGGTTGGGCATTGCCCAGCCACCCCAAGCCCACATTGAAGTGGCATACAGGAGAGTTGGGCTCAGCGACGAGCAGGCTCCTCCAAATCCTCACAGCCAAGCCAGCTTCGCACAGGCGATTCCCTTAGCCGGCAACACCGTTCCCTCCAGGTTCCTTCAGACCTCAGAAGTGTCCCTTCCTCCAGGAGGTCTCTTCTGACTCCCCCAGAGGAGAAGTCACGCCCGCCTCTCCTGCTCTGTTCTCAAGGTGCTGTTGGCCACAATGCCGTCTGTGCCGGTGTGACCTCATCTCTCCAGGGCCAGTGCTGTGCCTGGTGCTCAGAGGGTCTTTGATACGTACTTACGATTGAATGAATGAGTGAATGAATGAATGAAATTGGAACAACAGAGTCAGACCCAAGCCTCCCCTGCCTGCTAGCACCTGTCCCCTGAACAGTGCCTGGTTCAAATCCCTGTCTCCACTGTCCAGGAGCAAGACCCTTCCCAGGCCAGCAGGAGCCCCCAAGCCCGGGCTGCCTTCTGTCACTCTCTGCCTTTCAAGGAAGCCACGGGCTCCAGCAGCCAATGCTGAGAAAAGCCACGGGGAAAGGGACACCTAGGCTTGGAATTCTGCCCAAGCTGCCTCAGCCTCCCTGCCTCTACGTTGTTGTTTGAATCCCTTCCTCTCTCTGGGCCTCAGTTTCCCCTGTGTGCCAAGGCCTTGATCTTCTGTGGGCCTCCTGGGAGTCTCATTCAGAACTAGGCAAGAGTGCTCAGGGAAGGTGGCGAATACACAGGACTGGGGGAGCCAGTGTAAAGCCGGCTTCCAGCTTCCAAAATGGGAATAAATCTTAGAGCGGGGAGGTGAAAGAAGAGTTTAGAACAGCCTGGGCCAAGGTGGCGAGGTTAGAATGTGCAAGGGTAGTTTGGGCTTTGTTGAGGAGACGGGTTTACCTGGATATTAGCAGGGGCCAGTTGCTAAAGGGCTTTGACTGCTGGGTTGAAGAGTTTGGAATTTGTCCTGCCAGT